TAAATTTCTCCATAAACACTTACAGAATTATTCAAATGTAAGATAAATTCAGCTGTTCGCATAATGAAGACTAAGATTTATAAGTAGTTCGGATTAGCTTATGGGGAAACTTTACTTTTACTTTTATGTAGGCAACAGATTAAGAATGTGATAAATGTATGTAGCCATTATTAAAGGATGCTTTCGGGTATGAAGATCAAAACGAAAATACGCTACACGAATATGAATGAAACTAAGAGCGTGCTGGGGGATAGTGGTGGCAAAGACCAAATCAACTAGGTTTTACACGATGATACAATGATGCTTAGTTGCGGCTTGTAATGTGTGCAGATAACAGGAACCTTTACGGCAGTAAAGAAAGCGCTTTTATCTGTTTCGACTTTTCTTCATGATAACACTGGGCCAAATTCTGGTGCATTTAAACCTTCTGGGGCAGCTCCTGCTCAGGGTGATGGTTATCGTCAACGTGGTTACTCGTCCTCTGGTTCATATGCTCCTCCTGATCACCATTCCAGAGGTTATTCTTTTCCAGGTCCGGAAAGTTCTGGACCTGCTCATAGGATGTTTGTGGAAGAGGAGGTTGTCTTCAAGCTGTTGTGTCACCATGATAAAGTTGGTAGTCTTATTGGCAAAGGTGGTTCTGTGGTGCGGGCACTGCAGAATGAAACTGGTGCATCTATCCAAATTGTCGAGGCTGGACCTGATTCGGATGAGCGTGTGGTTGTGATATCTGCACGAGAGGTATGAGATCGACTGCTTTATTGTCTTTGATACATAATGCTCTACCTGTGTAGGATATCTTTTTACACGACGTATGTTTTGTGTTAAAGTTTTGCTTTGGTTGGAGTAAATTATGTCCACTCTTCAGTGTTGTCTTGGAAAGATTCTTGTTTGTGACTTTGGGTGCTTGTTGAAGTTTTTGTGAGCTGGCTCTCTGGTGTCAAGTTATTCTGGGGATCTTTGTTAGAAGTCTAAAGCATGATTGTTGTTTTGTTATAATCAAACAGGTAACCTTTGTCTGATTTTTGTGGCTGGGTTCATCTTCAGAGTCTTTACTCTGTGAGTTGCTGTTGGGTTATTCTAATCATGGTAACATCTCTGTATTGGTGGTTTTCTTTGTAAGACTTGCTTGCAGCCTATGAGAGTGATGTAGCAGAAAATTATAAACCTGATATGGAATTTCCATGATATTTGTCAAGTAACAAACTAAACTTGATATAATCTTCTGCAGATGCCAGACCAAAAACATTCTTCTGCACAAGAAGCTGTCATCCGGGTTCATTGTCGACTTACAGAGATTGGATTTGAACCAAATGCTGCAGTTATTGCTAAGCTTCTTGTGCGTTCACCACAGGTGGGCTGCCTCTTGGGCAAGGGAGGTCTTGTTATATCTGAAATGCGAAGGGCCACAGGTGCTAGCATTCGCATTTTTTCGAAGGAACAGATTAAATACATTTCCCAAAATGAAGAAGTTGTACAGGTAATTGGTGCTGCAGACTTTCTTGCGGATTATATGCATGTTTAAGTCTATTTACTATTCAAATTATATGATTGGATGAGAGTAAGAAAATAGGAAAGATAGAAAACGCAGATACTGACGGACTGTTTTTGTTTGGTTGAAGAGAAAATGAAAATAAAAGAAAGAGGAATGGTTTACCTTCAGAAACAATATTTAAAAATTTTCTTCCATTTTCTCTTTAATTTGAATTTCAAACATTTCTTTCTCTATCATTATCTTTTCTCTATACCAAATAGAGAAAGGAAAGAAGGCTGCAAAGTTTACCATGTTTACTAAGTCATTTAGGAAAGACACATATCTCTCTTTCCCTTGCATTTAGTTACTTCTGGTGCTAATTTGAGATTTGGTAAGTATTAGTGTATCTTGAAAAAGTAAGTTGTCTTATCATTTTTCATTGGCTTACTCCAACTTTGTTCCTACCATTCAACTTTAGTTTCAATCTTGTGTGAGCTTTGCCAAGGTATTAAGCCAGTTGAGTTTCTACAGATAGCTATTGAAATATCCTGTTTGCCGGTTTAGAAAAGAAAATTAAAGGAAATAAAAGAAATGTAAGCATGATTTTTTATGTTGTTTGGTAGGAAAGAAAGTGAAGGAAATATATATATAATCTCATAAATATTCCTAATAAATAGAGTATACAAAAATATAGGTGTTTCTGGTCATTTAATGTACAAGATCTTTCCCACTATCTTCCCGCTTTGGACGGATTGCTAAATTTGTGGGTCCCACAATTCTTTTTTAAATCTTTCTTTCTCAGTTTTTAAGCATCCAAATGAAAGAAAAGGGAGCCTAAAAAGATGCTTAATGTAATTACAAGAAGGATGTGGTGATAAATTTTTATTTTGCAGTCATGATAGTTAAAAATTAAAATCCAGATTAAAAACAGAAAATCCCATGATTTTACTGTTTTAATCCCTCAGTTATTCAAAACCTAGTTAGAAAACCCAATGGGCTGGTGTAGTAGTTATCATGTGTTGACACGCATTAGGGACAATCCTGTAGTGGAGAATCCCTGCTGTGTGCAAAACTCATTGAGCTGGCAACAGTTATTGTATAGTCCGTCGTAGAAAACATGCGGCAGGACCAAAAAAAGGTCCTAGTTAAAATCCATTTTGAGGTAAAATTCATCTAAAATCACAATTTAAATCCTAAAATTGATAAAATCTTTATATTTGCTGGCCCACTTTTTTTTTTTTTGTATCACGACTCACTTTTACATCGCACATCATTCTCTTGTTTGATTTGGCGAACCACTCTCTCCTTCATTGACCTTAACAGTATTTCTCCAGGCATTCTTCCTCTATTTTAACTTTTTTCTCCAGCTTCCTTGGTACACTGAGCTGTTGCTGTTCATTGTCCATCTTCCTCCATTCTTCCTCTGTTTGAACCTTAATTTGCTGGGTAGTCTGAGGTTTTTCACTTTTGGATTTTTTGTTCTTGTTTGAATTTCAAAGCCACCCTTTCACCTTGTTTGAACCCACACGGCCCAACAACCTTTATGTTGTGGCATGTTGTTAGATTAGACATTTAGGTTCTTGGATTATATATGTATTATGGATTTTGTAAAATCAAAGTATGTGATTTTCTTTACCTCCCTTCCATATTTGAGATGAAATCCTGATTTTAACTATCTTGATTGCTGCTGTCATTATGTTCCATGCAGTACTTAGGATTTTATTTACTCACATAGTTTAGCTACTAATGACAAATGAGTACTTTTAGTTCTTGTTTGCCATAATTCTGCTGTAAATGTGCTTATATGTAGATTTAAGTTTTGGATTTTGATGGTCTTTTGTGCAACAAATACGGTCTAACAGATTAAATAAATTTGTGTTCTATCACAGGTTACTGGGAGCTTACAATCTGTACAGGATGCTTTGTTTCACATAACCAGCAGAATTCGGGAAACCATTTTCCCATTAAGAACCCCTCCTCCAAATTTTAGTGCACCACCACATTTGCCACCGTATCCAGAAATGCCACCTCCTTTATTTAGGCCAAGAAATCACATGATGTCCTCTGGCCACCCTCCTCCTTCTCCTCAAGTTGGGCACCATGGAATTGACCATTCAACTGTTCCCCCCATGCCTGTTGACCATCAGCAGCATGCATTTGTTCATGGTATGGGACGTGGTCCGGCAAACATGGATCGAGTTCCCTATCCTCGTGGTTATGAAGGACCAAATTCACCAAGACATTGGAATCCTCTGGTAAGTGGCCCTTTCAGAATCATGGTTTAATGCATCTAATAATTTCTTTCTTTTTTCGGGTGAGGCAAAGTAGGGGAGCTAGCCCCCCAGCCTGTCCTTTATATTTACGAATGATGTTTATAACGCGTTAGGTTTGTATTTCAGGCAGTTAACAGAGGAAATCCAGGAGGAGCAGTTGATACTTCTAGTTTTGCCTCAAGAAATGAGAACCCTGGAAAGTGAGTTTTGGAAGTGTTTTTTTGAAGTGACGATTATAGGTGTTTCTAACATTTATAAAAAGCAGGTGTTGTTCCAGATATCTTATACTGGTGTTCGTGTAATTTACAGGAATGGACACCCATTGCAGAATCCAAGTAACTTATCAATTGAAATCACAGTCCCTCGCATGTATTTAACCTTCGTCTATGGGGAGAACAATAGTAACCTTACACAGATTAGACAGGTCTATTGATATCTGATTAGTAATTCATTTCTTATTGTTTGCTGGAACGCAACTTAGTAGTTTTTTTACCATTGGGCTTTTCCTCAGACGTCTGGTGCAAACGTGGCGGTTCATGATCCAAAACCTGGAGCCACTGAGGGTCTGGTGATTGTGTCTGGAGCACCAGAACAAACTCACGCTGCTCAATGCCTAATTCAAGCTTTCATTTTATGCGGGCAGACAGGAGCTTGACTATGCAGGAACAAGAGGCAATCTAAAATCTGTTTAAGCGCGTCTACACACAACAAGTCTCGTTATACATATTCCATCATTATGATGGATTAAGGATTTTATGTCAAGCTTGTACCATTTTGTGAATTTCATGATCAATTAGCGTAATTTATTTGTCCTTTACAGCACCAGGTGATAGTACCCTTCTTTCTATATGCTGCTCCTAATAACAAGTTACGCATTGTTGAAGAACTTAAAAGGTGAAACGAAAATCACTCAATCTAATTCAAAACGGGATAATTTTTTTTTATATATATATAAATACAACTGCACTGCTCAAACTTAATACAACATCAGGAAGTGGCATTGAAGCTGTTCAGCACACCCAAAATAAAAATCTCCAAAAAGAACTAGCTCTTACAGGGGTGATAATGATTTTCTGCATAAATTTAAAACAAAATACAGAATGCTCATTTTAACATTTTCATTCTCTAAAACCTTATAGAATAAGTCCCCTTGTACAATTTTTTTTTTTTTTTTTTATCTAGGGGCAAAAACTCTCCCCCAACACCATTATTCCATGAAATCGCTCTCCATTCTTACCAAAATATAAAGTTCATCACGACGAATCATCAGCTTCTCCTGCAACTCTATGGACTATCTGGTTGGTCTCTAAACTTTTATTCTGTAAATCATTCAAATGAAGGAAAAAATAAGGTCATAAGATGGCCCAAGTTTTCTAGTTGGCAAGAAATACGACATCATGAAATTTAATGAACGCATGATATCCGACCTCATTCTTGATTGGTCCAGACGTGGGTGCCGCCCTTGATAGGTCCCTCAGTGTTCCCTGTGGCTCAGAAAATGAGGTCATATCAACAAACTAACTTTATATGCGGCTTAAATTTTTTTGCTGAAATGTACCTAATATTACTTCTTTAAATAAATAAGAAACTTGGCACTGAATGAAGAGAACGAATGCAAAATATATAGTAGTATAAGAATCCAACTGAATTTAAATTGATTTGAAAGATGTTTCAAATGAAACATCTTCCCCATCTTCAGAGAGTAAATCAGTCAGATATTTTAGTGAAGTAACTGATTGTACTGTAATTTCTTTAACTGCATTTTGGTGAGATACCACTGAAGAATTTGCAAATAATGTTTTATACTTTCCTTAAAACCTAATAAAGGCTAGTGCGAGAACTGGCAAATCGTGGTCTATATACCCCACAAAGATATATAGAATCTTTTATCTACACTGGTTTCTCTCCAGGTAACTCTCAAAATCATTGCCAAAGCTTTCATGTATTATCTTTGTTTTCTTCCCAAAGCATTTTTTATATTTTTTATTTATGCATAGTTACATTCACAGATTCCCAAATTCACGTGATTAAATAATTTAATACTCATGATATTGAGCTAATGAATGACAAATTGACAATAAAACTTCGTAACGTTAAATTGCAAGGTCTGGGGGTAAGTGTTGGCATGTGGGGTTTATAAGGTCTTGGGCAATCCAAAAAAAATGTTTAGTTTTTGCCAATGATAAACATATAATACGAGCATACCATACATTACTTATTTAATACTATTATTCTAGAAATTAAAAGATATAATACATGTAAGATACATACATAAAATTTTATAAAAACTCATCAAGCAAAATAATAAATATATAATTGAAATTATGCAAATCCAGATTATAAACATTTTTTAGACATTACTAAAATAAATAAAAAGTTATAATCATTGTCACCATAAATTACTACCAAGGAATAACACAATTAATCTCATTTCTTGAAATAATTTATAAAAAGATAAATTTTCATCTATATATATCGATGAAGTACCAGTATCAGTATCAGATACATGAAACAAACAGAAATATTAATGCTTTATGGGATTGGATATTTCAGTGACATGTATGGATAAAATACTCAAGAGTATTGAAAACGGATTAGTGAAGCAAATTGAAATATGGTGCTTCAAAAGTTTTTGGGGTATGGTTTTCCCAAGGTTTAGTTTCCCTCAATGGGTATCAAAGTTTTCCACCATTTCTCTGATCTGCAAAGGAGTAACATAGGTGGTGACATCAACACTGCGGTATTTGTCCTTGACTATTGAAGGGCCAATGCACAGCCAACTCACATGGGTACCAAGGTTGTAGGGCGTAGTGGAAATTAAACTCTCCAATTTCAACTACTAGTTTTTGTAGTATAGTTCTTCAAGGTTATTGGCTTATTTATTTAATGCTTACTTTCAGTCAAATATGTTCAAGGTTCTCATACTTTCATATTGACAGGTTTGGACCTCAAACTCTTAAAACATGTGCATCTAACTTTAAAGACCATGAAGAATTTTTATAGAGGAGAAACTGAATCCACATATTTTAAAATTTGACGACCAAATTAATCAATATGAAAAAATAGGAACCTTGACCATTCTTAACGAAAGTGTAGGACCAAAAACACATTCAAATTGTTGACACTGCATCAATATACACATATTTTAACAACCATCAAATTATTGACACTACATCCGTATAGACACACAATATGCAAAACAATAGCAACGGGCATAACTTTAATATATAGAGCAACACACAATATGCAAAACAATAGCAATGGGCATGAGAAATAGACTAACTCTCATTTACCTTATTTGCCCACATAAGACCACAAGCATTGCAGAGTGTTCTTGGCCCTTCAGGCCCACGTCGCATCATCGGTGTGGACTTCTCACTGATGCCACAGTGCCTACAACTGTAAATTGACAAAAAACACCGTTTGTCAAATGATATACAAGACTGTATCTCCCTCTAGTCCTAGAATGAACCAGTCAACTTACACAATATCTAGCTGCTGGGATCCGTTATTCTCAGTCGACCAGTTTTCATTTGTCCCCCAATTTGTTGCAGTTGATGCAGATTCCTCATGATTGGACTTGGAAGATGTAAACTGACCTTTATTCCTTTGCATCCTACAGAAGTCGTTTGCATTTGTTAGCAAGTGGTGCAAATATATCAAGGTAATATTGCCAGTCAAGATGTGGATAGGAATATATTTTACATTAAAAAGAAAAAAAAAGTTGGCATATAAACTTGCAAGATATCATACATTCACTACACTGTTACATCACTTTAATCAGGCAAGGGCAATAAGAAGATAGATGGCACATATTTCACAGGGTTAAGATGGAACTCCATTGGAAATCCCCAATTTATTGCCGAGTTACACCTAAACAACGTCATTGATGGCTGCTATCAAAGTTATCCTTTTTATGGTTTTCTCAAAACCCAAGAAATCAACTACAATGGATCGTGAATTGTGAAGAATTTAGACATTATATCCCAAAAACTACTATAAGTTGATACATGATAATGAGGCTTCAGTAAACAAATTTATATTGCAAACCCTTCAAGGAACTCACCGCTATATTCTGTTTTGCACCCTTCTAATGTTATCAATAACACAACATTACAAACATAAATGGTCTACAGCAAAGTCAAAATTTTAACACAAACAAGTAAACGAGTATTCCGTGTAAGCTTAATCTAAAAAACAATGATAGGAAACGAGTATTCCGTGTAAGCTTAATCTAAAAAACAATGATAGGAAACACCATACCTTAATGCTACTTCTTTCCGAACAGTATACCGAATTTTTTTGTCAAAATTTCGTTCTTTCCGCTTTTCACGAAACCTAATCAATGAAGCTAATCTCTGAGGGACACTGAATTTTTGCGGAGTACCAGTAAACCCCTAATAAAATACTTCATGAGACATTTATTTGATTAGAAAAAGAGCATCAATCCCACTCCAACCAAATAATGTAGAAATACCCGGTTATTATGGTGAGGAGATACTGGCATGGTAGGCATAGTTGGAGGTATTTCACGGCCTCCCAGTAACAGCAGTACAGCTTGAACCTGAGAAAGATATCCCAGGATTATCAGAAATTATTTTCATCAAGGAATCATTGTTGGTAGTAGTTCCTAACTTGGTCAATAATAGATCAAATTATCATTATAATTGCTCAAAGCCACCTTTACAATCACAATATAAAAGTAACAAAGAAGCTTGTTAAACTGCAAATTATGATAAAATTTAACATGAAAAGCATTGAAAATTGAGGTGATACACATTTACGCCTGTGCAAAAGCTGGAGGGGATAAGAGGAAAGTAACTAGTCATCACTTTTTAATTGATACAAATAGTCAACAACAATAACAATCAAGACTTTTTTCCAATAGGAGAGGTTGGCTACAAGGATTGAGGAACACCATCATGTTCTATGTTAATCATGTTAAAAGAAAACCATTGACCACTAAATTTTCTTAATGACTTTACCCATAATTTTTTCAGTCTCGCCATACACTTCTTACTAAGACTTCCATAAGTTTTCTGCACACGTCCAAACCACTCAAGACAGATTCTATTGTTTTGTTCTACAATAGGTGCTACCCCAACTTTCCTTTTAATGCATTCATGTCTTGTATGTCCACTCATCCATTGCAACATTCTTATCTCTAGTGCATGGAATTTATTCTTTTTTGAAACTTGGTTCCATACAACATTACTGGTCTTAAAGCTGTGAAACAAAATTTCCCCCCGTTCTTGACATCTTCCAGTCTTATAGATCAACCTAAATGACGAATACTCCCAAAGAAGAACAGAAGAAGAAGAAATGGGGAAATCAAACATACATACAACATATATTAATATGAAATAAAAGACTAACATACCCCAATGCCAAAAGAATCCTCACTATGCGAAGGTTTGAGAGAGTCATTGTATGCAACCTAACCATTACATATGGAAAGAGACTGTTTCTGGATTTTAACCCATGACCAACCGATCACCAAGACGCAATGCCAAGGCTCACCCTTATATATTCATATGAATACCCTTAAAAAATTTCTTTGAATTGTCAATAGCGCCCTCATACAACTCCTTACAGCAGCAACGTGAGTCAAACAGACAAGACCATAGTTTCATCAATGTCATCTACAATTTATTACTCAAACATCATCATTTTTATGATCTGATGCATATTCAAGCACAAAGCAGATACTCTCATTCACAACAATCTAGGAGTCATTAAACTAAACAGACTTGAATAGCCACTGGAAATCAATATCTACAAGAAAGTCTTGAGAAGTTGAGACAAGCATAGTGGGTTGTAGACATGAGGGGCAATGTCATGTCAATGCAAAGTGAAAAAAACTAAAATAAGTTGATGCACCTTTTCTGGTGACACGCAGTCAAAGACATAAACTTGGCCCTGAAAAGATAACGTAAGCTGATCCCCAGCATCACCCCCTTGATCCATTATTACAGCGTGATTGTCAGTGAGATTTCCATGGCTGGAGGGGACATCACCTTCCACGCTTTCACTTCCACCACAGTTAGTATCACCACCATCATTCTGATCCTCGTCAATCCCATTCCCATTGCTCATATGGTGCAGCCCGTGATGCTCATGTTCTTGCATATATGGCACATGTATAGGATGCTGTCCATCACTGATGTGTATCCGAGAATCACCCCCATGAATACCATCCATGGTACAAGAAGAGTAAAAATCACCTAGGAAATGGCAGAAAGATTGTTAAAGGTAACTAAAGATAATTAACAGTAAAAACAACAACAACAACAACAACAACAAGAAGCAGACAGTAAAAACAACACCAACAATAACAACAACAAGCAGATAGTAAAAATAACAGACTAAAAAAACAATTATCAACTCTGAACTGGAGAACACGAAATCCTACTAGGAACCAAACTACACATACAATCAGGAAAGTGCAATGACAGTAAAACACGGTAGTAAAGGATAGTGTGCAACATTTCATTCTTATTAAAATACATTTCTAGGGAATGAAACGTGATAACAAGCAGAAACACAAGCTAAACAAAAAAAATGCAAAACTACCCCATTCCAGCAGGTAACAAGGAGTTTGCCACGAATAAGACAAAAAGATATTGGGTAACAGGGCAAAAAGTAGAGAAACTTATAACATTTGAGTGGAATGATGATAGAGTCTTATGAATCCCTGAGGTAAAGCAATAGTTTGCATCACAAACAAAACATCCCAGAGTAGAGGATGGGAATGAAAGGAAAGAGGGAGATATTGTTGAAAATATCAAATGGGAAGAAGGGATAAGAAAGAAAGAAAACATTTTTATGGAGAAGGAGCAGACCAAATACAATTGAAGATTGTGGGTTGATCTGCACAACACCCCAGAGGCACCTCCGCAACAGAAAAAAGGATTGGGATAAGGTCACGGTGACTGAGAAAATAGTGCAGAAGAAGAAGAAAATGAAAATGGAGAGAGAGAGAGAGAGAGAGAGAGAGAGAGAGAGAGAGGTTAAAATGGGTCGGTAACGAAAGGAGACGGAGAATGAGATCAGGGTCAGGGAGACACAAAACAGTGCCCTTGTTTTGTTCCAAAGTCAATATTTTTTTCACAAACCCAAAAATATTTCATCATTGCGTGCAACGTGAATGTGACCACTAAAAAAACATTTTTTTTTTCAGCTTCACCTAAAACTAAAAAAAATACTATTATTCGAATTAAAGTGGTTCACTGTTGATGCATTCCTTTTTACTGTTCCAGTTTTCTTTATGAATTTATTCATGATGATACCAAGTATGGCTTTTTAACCCTAAAAGGAAACGTCAAGATAACATTTTTCTTTTCTGCACTTGTATCCGGTTTCTATATAAGTTAGGATGCACAGATAACACAGCATAGCACATATATATTTAAGTTGTAGGAAATTTTCTATTTTGTGTGGGTAATGATAATGGATAATTGGGTGTGAAAATATAATAATATTAATTATTATTTAACTAAATGTATATTTTATATTTAATGGTTAAATAATAATTTTTATGTATTATTTGATGGAAAATAATTATTATAATTAAGATAATATTTATTTAATTATAATAATATTTTAATATTAATTTCTTTTGATATATCTTAGTAACTACTCTTACACAAATATGAAAATTAAAATAATGATACTAATAAAAATAATTATGATAATAATAATTACAAGAGTAAAGTATGATAAAAAATAATAATTATTATTATTGAAATAAAAATATATACTGACAATACCTATAATAAAGAGTAAATATAATATTTTTGTCCGTGTTTTATTGAATACTAGAACATAAAGTGTTTATCTTAATTTGTACCGCGCATGCTAACACCAAACTATTATTATAAATCACTCTATTTTCATCTAATTATTATAGACCACTTTGTTTTCATCTTATATGTATTAATTTAATTTTCCACATTTTCTTCTATGTTTTCATATTTACCTATGTGTTAACTTTATATTTTTAATAAATAATATTTTTTATGTATAATTATATAAAATAGTTTTAATTATAATCCATCAAAATACATATTTTTTTTAGTTTAATTTTTACGTATTTTTGACTTAAAAAAATTATACTAAAAAAAGTTAGCTATTTAAAGGGTCTAATGGTAAAAGCTATTTATTTAACTATGCATGTTATTCTATAATTGAATGATCTATGCATGAATTATAAATAAAATGTTAGATTAGGATTAAAACATATACTCAAGCAAATTTAAAGACAAAAAAAATTAACACATAAAACTATAGATATAATCCATTAAATAAAAACAATATTTATGTAATATTGTAATGATAAATTTTAACTAATAATTAAAATTATTTCAAAATATGGGTTATTTAATAATATATTTCATTTATCTTTTAGACGTAAAAAGTCATACCCAATATTTAAGGGTTGAAAAATATACCTTTTGACGATAATAAAATATAAAATTTAAAACAAGAAAAAGAGATAATGTAATATAAACATTTTTAGTAAGAGTTAATTATCACATTTAAATACATATATTGTTTTTTTGTACAAAAAGTTGAAAATCATGTTAAAAGTTGTGACGTTTTACCATTTTTATTTTGTAAACATTTGATCGTGCTCATATAATTGATATAAATTCATCAAAAAAAAATTATTATTAGTATATTTAAAAAATATATTTAAACTTTATAAAATTCTAAAAAAATTTCATATATAAAGTTTCAAAATGTAAACAAATAATTTTGATTTAATTTTTTTTACACTTTAACTATTTAATTATATTTGCCAATGAAATCATAGAATGACTTGAACAATAACTTATGAAACACAAACATAGATGTTAAATGAATTATTTTATTTGTCTCAATTCATGCAAGATTGAAAATAGTGGAAAATTGAAATAAATTTTGTGGTCATAATACCTTATCTTGTAATATCGGTTTGGTGAGAAAAAATTATTAGGTGATTATATTGCACGTGATTAACATGATGGATAAACAGTTAAGTCATGTTCCATACATGAAAAATAAGTTGACAATTTGAGGTATGAAAGTCAACCACAAAAATTTGGCTTTGACCTATGTGGAGAAAAATAATTTATAACTTGAGTAAAGTGGATTAAGCATGTAATGAAATGGTTAGGGTTAAAGTCTTGATTTAAAAGTTAATATTTTTCAAATGTTTTTTTTGTGTAAAATTAATTATAAATTTAAAATATCATGATAAATTTGTGTAAGAAGGATAAATGAGGTTGAAAATCAAAAAGTTTTTTGAAAAGTTGGTTTATAACTACTTTTTTATTTACAGATTACAAATTTATCATTACAATTTTTTATTGATATTTAATTATATTATTTTATATTATATATGTTTTTTAAATTTGTAATAATAATTTCAAAATTTATTCATTTTAAAATTAATTTAAATTAACTAATGACATCAAAATATATATTTTTTAATGAAACTCAAACCTTTTTTAACTCCAACATATTTTTGGTAAAAAAAAAAAAACTGAGTTGGGTTTAAGCAGAATATTCTTTGTTAAGTAATGAATTTTGGATAACTTACTTAATGATTTAAAATTTATTTTCGTTGTATTAGTAATATTAATTTTGTTAGCAACTAATATTATTTTTAAAATAATTCTTACTATATTGAGATTCTTCATCTCTCTACTTTTAGTTAATCACTATTGATTAATTAATATGTGTTAGTTATAGTCTCTAATCCCATAAGAGAACTGAAAAAAAATCCCACAACAGAGATGATGAAGTATCTTATTAATTTTACAACATTGTTTAATGACTATAAAAGTTATAAAATAATAAGAATATTTTGGTCTAAACAGAATTAATACAATAAACAGATTTAAAGAAAAATTATAAAAAACAAATATTTTTTAAAATCCTATAAAATAAAGAAATACTATTTTATTGGAAGACTTTGCTAGTCTCTTATATATAAAAAATTAACGGAAGCATTAATTAAAAAAAATTGAAAGTTTTTACATTTTTAGTTTTTGTTTGGTTATGGGGTGGTTTTGGTAAATAGGAATTTGTGTTGGTGTTGAATTTTCTTTGTTTTTGTAGGAATTGACTTGAATTGAACAAAGGGAGAATTGAAGTCTCCGCTTCCTCTTCATCTGCACTTCACTTTTGCAGATTGAATTGAAGCATTCATCGGTTGGATTGATGCAATCCTTCTACAACTTCGTAGGGAAAAGGGTGAACGGATCTTCTTATAAACCCTCAAAACTCTGTCTTCACATTCCGACAAACACATACGTAGATTTGAAGGAACTAACGACCGGCCGTTTTGTTCCTTAAAAAATTGTTGTCTGCAACAAAAAAAAAAAAAAAAAAAAAAAGCGAATAGGTTGGTGTGAACCTTAGATCTTGGTTTGGGAATGGCGAGAGGGAGCAGATCAGTGACGAGTGGCAAGTGGAGGTACTGCCACCCTTCCTATTACCTGAAGCGCCCAAAGCGTCTTGCTTTGCTCTTCATCGGTTTCGTTTGCGTTTCTTTCGTTGTTTGGGACCGTCAAACGCTAGTCAGAGAGCACCAGGTCCTTACTTTCAGATTTCGATCTGGTTATTTTCCATGATTTTTTGCCAACTCTTGTTTGCAGGATCTCTGCTTGTTTGTTGGTTTTTATGGTGGACGTCTTATAGAAAAGAAATCTCTTTGGGACTGTGACATTAGATGTATTGTTTTTTGGGGAGGGGAGTTCATGTTTATGGAATTGAATGGTTGGCGGGTGTAGCGAAAATTAGATGTGAGGAAATAAGGTGTGTTACTTTTTTATATAATCTCTGCAATATAATATTGGAATGTTTGGTACCACTAGAGGTGTTTATGAGATATTCTCTAGTGGAAATATAGAACTTTTTCTAGTCCAGAAACTCCTAAAAGCTGTCATACGCACGTATAATTTGTATCAAAAGAAACTCTAAGTAGATGTTATGTGAGCTTTCATATTTAATTCTTGCCAACTACCAACTTGGAATTACTATTAGTTAGTTATAGAATACTGAAATGACAGATGGTGATTATTTGATTTAACTAGGATGTGATATTTTTGACTTGATTTTTGATTTACAACTTTGTTTTCAGTTTTCGGTGTAACTTTCTTTGTAAAGTGAGGATGAGATATTTTTTGGATTTTCGGTACATAACTTTTCTGCTAAATGCAGGTTGAAGTTTCAGAGCTAAGGAAAGAAGTGAAAGATTTGCAAAATTTGGTAAGAGACTATCAAATGCTTAACCTTTTGGGTGTGTTGACTCTTCAGCTACATTTAGCCCAGTCTTTTGTTCCCAAGAAGCATTTCATTTGCAAAGAATAAACATAAGCAATGCGATAGGCTGTACATATCTTGCATTTCGTACATGATCACTGCTTTAATCTGATTGAAACCTTTCTTGGAGCTAAGCAATCAGATTTGTTTCAGTTGGGTGAGTTAAATAACAAACAAGGTGGCGCTTCTGGGAATATTGACTTGAGGAGTAAATCTAACAAGTCCAGTAAAGAGGTCCTAGTTGATCCCATTGATAACGAGAGGAGGGAAAAAGTTAAAGAAGCAATGCTTCATGCTTGGGGATCTTATGAGAAGTATGCATGGGGCCAAGATGAACTTCAGGTATGTTGAATCTCTATTAAGAACCCATGAATCCTTCACTCTTTATTTAATGATAGTTTTTATAGGTATTTTTCATTGTGGGTTCTTTCCGTATGTCCGAAGCTTCTTTCCCTAGATGTAAATATTGTGGAGGTCTTGCCATATCGGGATTTAGTTCACTTGTATTTTTGCTCCAAGTCTAAAGCATGTAAAATGATGTGCAAAATAAAATAAGGATTATGCATTTAGATTCCATTAGTCAGCAAATAGATGGCATACTTTTGCTTTCATTGCATAACCGTCCAAAATAGTGATGTGATTATAAAGATGATACAATTGTTTTCCTGTACTAAATGCATGCTGTTCTGTTCTTAAATAATACTTAACAAATATTGTTTTTATTTTTTTGTAAATATAATTATTATATTTACTCTCTAAATTTACATTTTTTGAAATTAATTAGTTTTTTTTTGTGCTACTAGCCACAATCAAGGAGTGGTGTCAATAGCTTTGGAGGTCTTGGAGCAACTTTAATAGATTCTCTTGATACACTATATATTATGGGTCTCAATGAGCAGTTTCAGAAAGCACGAGAGTGAGTGTAACTTTTGATTCTATAATATGAACTCGTGATCTTGTTTTTTTTTTTTTTTTTTTTCTTCTCTCACATCTCTATAAATGTTTCGAGTCAATAGTGGAGAAGTTTTTTAAAGTTATATATGGCAAAGATACTTGCGTGCTGAGTAGAAAATTCAGTTTGTATTGCTTTCTTTTTTTCTCTTTCAATTTAATGCTCTGCCCAGGGCAACTACATGCTAATATAGTTTAATTCCTAAGTTTTCTGATAGGTATTTATTGGCTGATTTTATTTTATTTCTGAATGGAGACATAGTTATTTATTTCAGTTGTTTGCTATATTCATCTGCTTAATGTTTTATTACTCTTTGTTATGCTTTTTGTTGCATTCCTTGTCATAATAAGAAATTGCTCTGACAGATGGGTTGCAAACTCTTTGGATTTTAACAAGGATTATGACGCAAGTGTTTTTGAGACAACCATAAGGTTACTTTATAAGGTTTACTTTGCAGTTGAAGTCCCTTACCCCATTAACAAAATTATATTTTTGAACTCATGTGTTAGACAACTAATACTTTTTAAACTTTTTTCTTTGTCTGTCTATTTCCACCAAAACTCAGAGTAGTAGGTGGTCTTCTTAGTGCATATGATCTTTCAGGTGACAAAGTTTTCCTTGACAAAGCTAGAGACATTGCTGACAGATTACTGCCTGCATGGAATACACCTACAGGAATTCCTTATAACATCATTAATTTGTCACATGGACGAGCACACAACCCTGGATGGACTGGGGTAAATTTTAGAGTTCTGTTTATGGTTTTCAGTCTTACTGGACACTAGGAGATTTGGGATATTACTTCGATGGGTTGTAGTTCTTGATTTTATGTACCTGGCATTGTTTATATTTTTGTTACCCTCGGGGCGTTTGGTTGAAAGAAAAGTTCTCATCCCCTGGAATCATGATTCCTGGAAATTATGAATCCTAGAAATGATTAAATTTTGTTTAGTTGGTTAAAAATATTCCTGGAGATATCTATACGAGTTTTTTAGAAATTAAGAGGTAATGTGTTAGGAACCAAGAATTAAACAGAAAAAGAAAAGAAAGTTTCTTTATTGAAAAGAATAAGAAATAGGAGAAGATTCTCCTCCAAGGGTTTCTCCTTCACAAAAGATTTCTCCTTTTACAAAGAGATAATGCTCAATTTACAAAAAATATCCACACCCTTCTCCTATCCTTCACACCCTATTTATATTTAAACAACACCTTATGCAATTAACTAACTTATTAATATGCTAACTATCTTCTTAACTTCTCTTTCCCCTTATACCCTAACAATACACCCCGCCTAAAAATCAACCTTGTCCTCAAGGTTGTATAGTAGAAACTTGATCCCATTACTCATTCTTATTACCATGATCTTCATTTACCCTTCCTGTTTGCATATGATGTCTTTTTTTTGGTATAGGAATGAGAACCAGTGGCTAATGCATTCAAATTCAGATCAGGTGGCTTGGGTAGTAGTGGAAATGAGAGTGGATTTTTTATAACAGCCTTCAAACCTTCTTTTTGCATTGACTCCATTGGCAAGTTGTAATCTAGAGAAGCAATGAAATTTAATGTTAAAGGATCACCAAGAAAATTAAAATTCCCAAATTCTAATCTCATTGTTGTTCCAACCACCTTCATTGTCAGATTTGGGTCCAACAATGATTCCTGATTCTTAATATGGAAATCCATCATCTTCACAGTATTTATTGATGACATAATCTTTGCTTCTCTTGCTCAATTCTCTTCATTTTTTGTTCTTCTCCACTATCAAGGGTGTGATACTTGATTATTAAATCTTGTTTACTTTTATTTTCTGATTTCAAGAATAGAAAAGGATCATAATCATTTTGAAAACTGCCACTTTGGGAATCAGATTCCCCTTCTATGCTTCCAGCAAATATGGGTAGTTCCATCTTTTTTATCCAAGAACTAATCTCTGCTGCAATGCATTTTGACCCGCTTTCCTTCATGCTATTTTTTTCTTGCTCAACCAGATGTGGATCACCCTCTTCATACACTACTGTGGAAGTCTCCATTATTTTGCTGCATGTTTTAATCTCAATTTGCTCTTCTTGCTTCATGGTATTCAATCTTTCAAAGATGTGGCTGTCATAGATATCTTTGAACCTTTTTATCAAAGCTGTTGAAAAAGATTCCCAATCTAAATCTGAGTTACCTTGGCACCAATAATAGAATCAACGCATTGCCACACCCTCCATGCTCATTAATGCATATTGCAGCTTATCAAAAGAATCCATTTCATGTACCTCAAAGAATTTTCCAGACTTAGCAATCCAACCAATTGGATCACTTCCTTCAAAAGTTGGCACCCTCTTCATCCAGTGAAGCTGCACCTCTTCTTCCCCACCATCTGAATCAGATCCCTCACTAATCACCAGCCTTTCTCCTCTTCTTCCCCTATTTATAGAATTGTCATCTTTCTCCGAGCTTCTTTCTTTTTTCTTGAAGTGTTTCAACAAGTCTTTGATTTCTTGAAAATTATCTTGCATTTCCAAGAGGGTCTTCCCATGCTTGTTGGCCTATTTTTCCAAGGCAACAATTCTTCCTTCCATGATTTCACCTTTTTCAGATCCGGCTGGTAGGACCAATTGTTAGGAACCAAGAATTAAACAGAAAAAGAAAAGAAAGTTTCTTTATTGAATAGATTGAAAAGAACAAGAAATAGGAGAAGACTCTCCTCCAAGGGTTTCCCCTTCACAAAGGATTTCTCCTTTTACAAAGAGCTAATGCTCAATTTACAAAGAATATCTACACCCTTCTCCTATCCTTCACACCCTATTTATATCTAAACAACACCTTATGCAGTTAACTAACTCATTAATATGCTAACTATCTTCCTAACTTCTCTTTCCCCTTATACCCTAACATAATGTGTTATTTTTATCAAAATCTTTAATTTCTTACTACATTAATTAATTTAATAAAAGTAACATTATTGGTAATATTTTTATTTTTACTTGGGGAAGTTAGTTTCTCACCTTCTCCCATGGGAATGTTTATGTGAGAAACTTGACTAAAAAACATTCTCGATGAACCTTGTTTCCTGGGAGTCATTCTTTTTTCGTATTCTCAGCAAACTAAAAATTTCCCTTTTACCAAACACCCCCAAGAGTCAGATTTAATGGCATATAATCCTTGGTCATTCTTTCTAAGCTTTGACATTGTAGTTATAAGCTTTTTGTTGTGTTTATGCTTCATATTGGTTTTCAAGAAATTAACTGGATCTCTTGTTGAAGGCCGTTTTGGATAGCCTTTAAATGGACAATAAAAATAATTTTATAAGCCCTTTTTATTTTCTTCAAGAAAGATATTTTATGCTTTGATGTAATGCTCAAGAAGTTCCTTTTTTGTTTTTGAGCAGTCTCTTCTTTCAAAATTAGCTTTAACCAGGTCTTTTTCTCAGAATCATGAAAGTATGAAGTTTATATGACTCAACATTCCCTAGTGTTCCAATGATAAAGACCTGATAGCAAGTGGGTCGATAGATTTAATATTGGTAGGATATATTTTGAATTTTTGATACTATCTTAGAATTTGAGTTAAGACCTTACCTCAACCATACAAAACTAGTTTCTAAGGCAATGGTTATCTCCCATTTATATATTATATTTTGACAAAATTTCTAGATGATGTGAGATCTCCAACAAATAGAAATTTATACATACGTACTATATATATATATATATATATATATATATATATATATATATAGAAGGCACAACCTTAGGATCTTTTTGGCTGAGTATTGATGATGAATTAGTATCTTCTTGTTTTATAGTAGAACAGAAGTATTTCATCTAAGGATTTGTTTTTAAAGGCATGAATTTTGGTTATTTGATACTGCAAGTATCATTCACATGCCTGATCAAATGCAAAGATTTTCTAGGTTAGTTCTACTGGGCTTCTGATTGATTGATTTTTATTTGTATTGCAGAATAATTTCTGATTCCTTTCTCTGACTGTATATGTCACAATCACTATAGCTATTTTATCAAAGTCTCTAATTCCTTTTTGTTTATATTTTGTCAAGGGTGAGAGTATCTTGGCAGATTCTGGCACTGAACAACTGGAATTCATTGTTCTATCTCAAAGGACTGGAGACCCAAAGTATCAGCAGAAGGTTATTAACATTGATTCAAGATTTCTATTTATTAAGGAATAGTTGGATTGAGGGGTTTACATTTATGTTGGTTGAAAACTGATATAATGACAGGCAGACATTGTAGTGGTGGTGCCCTTAAGTGTTAAAATATACTAAACTTGATACCGGGCTATTTGTAGAACTTTTACTAGACTTATTTTGTACTTGGTTGGAGCTATATTTAGCATGTAGCTAAAGGCATCAGTTACTTGCTTTTTCCAGTATGCCTTTGATTTGTATATTGCATGTGCATGCAATTTTTCTAGCTATGCACTGATTGGTGTGCACCATGCTTTTTCAGGTAGAAAACGTGATAGCCCAGCTAAATAAAACATTTCCTGATGATGGATTACTTCCTATCTACATTAATCCTCATAGTGGGACCTCAGGCTACTCTCCTATCACATTTGGTGCCATGGGTGATAGGTATTAACACAATTTAGCAACCATATTTTGCATGATATGATCATAGAAAACTTCTAACTTCATTAATATGATCTAAGGATTTTGTTAAATTCTAATAATTTATCTGTATTTGTTAATTTGCTCCGTTGGTGATTGACACAATCTTGTTGCAGTTTTTATGAGTACTTGCTCAAAGTTTGGATACAAGGGAATAAGACTTCAGTCGTAAAACATTATAGGTGAGAATAATGCACCAACATTATCACATTTTCTCCCCTTTGGATTGATATATTAATTCATGAATTTGTAATGGAATTCATGCCATTCTAGTAGACACTAATAGCTAAAATTTAATTTACTTCCTTGTATTGACTGGAGAATTGTATGTTAATCTTTAAAAATTTAATGGCTAAATCATTTCAATTTTTCTTTCACATAATTATTGAATAAACGTAAGTATTGAATCTTTTTCTCTCATCCATTTCTTTCTGGAATCGCGAAAACAGAGATATGTGGGAGAAATCAATGAAAGGACTGTTAAGTTTGATTCGGAGATCGACACCTTCTTCTTTTGCTTATATATGTGAGAAAAATGGAGGATCTCTCACAGACAAAGTATGATATGACACTTACAATACTTGTATTGTCACATTTAGTATTTACCATATGATTTTCGTTTGGTATAATTTTTCATTCAATTGAGTACCTGTAGATGGATGAACTAGCATGCTTTGCTCCAGGAATGGTTGCTTTGGGATCATTTGGTTATAGTGCTGCTGATGATTCACAGAAGTTTCTGTCACTTGCAGAAGAGGTATATTTTGATAGCCTATTTAATTTAATAAACCCTTATGTGCTTCTTGTTGACTGGCTGTGTTTTGGTCTTGATCAGTCAATTTATATATGGTTTTCACACCAGTACAAGCTTAATAATTTATTTCTGCTTAGGAAATGCTAAGCTGCTTGGATTCAAATCGTGATATTATCAATTTCATTTATATATTATGCTCTGGGTTAAACTAGCATGCATTTCTAAAGCCTATTTTAAAGTGTTGTGAGGGATGAATGTTTCTATCTATGTTTCCTTTCGGAAAACCATTTCGTCTTTCTTTTTGAAAGAAATTTATCATTGGTTTGAAACAGAAAATGTGTTAGCTATAACTAAGAATTTTGTTTTCAGTCAAATAATTATCGAATGTGAGTGGAAGTAGTGTCTGTGTGTGATGTTTTAATATCTGAGACGACCTATATGGAATCACACTGTTGATTCCTTCCCAGTGCATGTGGATATTTTCTTGTTCAATGATATTAATAGTATGAGGTAATCACTGATAATTCGTACCTTTATTTGCAGCTTGCTTGGACATGTTATAACTTCTACCAATCAACTCCAACAAAATTGGCTGGAGAGAATTATTTCTTTCATTCTGGGCAGGTTAGCTATTAGCTTATTGTACCATGAAATTTGAAAATTGTGTAATCTGAAATTTTTTTATTTTAATTTTAAGGACATGAGTGTGGGCACATCATGGAACATACTGAGGCCAGAGACAGTCGAGTCCCTCTTTTACCTTTGGCGATTAACTGGCAATAAAACATACCAAGAATGGGGTTGGAATATATTTCAAGCTTTTGAGAAGAACTCCCGCATAGAGTCAGGCTATGTTGGACTGAAGGATGTAAGCACACCTCTATCTGACATCTAATAATGTGTTTTGTATTAAGTACGTCCAATTAAAAGATAAAATTATTTGTCTGGTTCATTGTGAAAGCTTTTATTGAAATTAAGCACTTCAATAGATGATATTAAGGCATTCTATGTGTTTTTTCTTGATTGAATGCTAACTTATTTCCATAGGCGATAGGTGTTGAAAATAATGTTATTTCCATAAGCACTTCAAAGAGAAAATTAAGAAGAAAAAAGTTAAAACGAGCTTATCAATAAACTAAAATTAGCTAACTGACAAGTTAAAAATAAGAATTTAGAAAATTACAGAAAGAAAGTTTCTACGAATTACTTCATGCATCTAATTTTAGCACATGAAGAAACTCATTACATTTTTTCTTTTTAAGGCTTTGTATAAATTCTTTTTTATTATTTCTGTAAATTTTTTACTTTTAACTTGTGAAGAAGTTTATTTCTTGTTATTGTTCTCTCCCAGAAGTTTTTATGGAGAAGTTTGTCCAAACAATTAATTTTCTCTCCTAAAAATTTTGGAGGTTTTGGTTGCATATTATTTGATCCATGGAATTGTTGGCATTGGTCATGCTTCTTACTTAATGATTTCTGTCAATTCTCTTCCTTGCTTCCTTTGTAGTTCGTCTAATTCTATACAACCATTTATTATCCTTGTCAACTATTTTGCTTACTCATCCATTATCACTTGTTCAAAATTCTCAGGTTAATAGTGGAGTCAAAGACAATATGATGCAAAGCTTCTTTCTTGCTGAGACCCTGAAGTATTTTTATCTTCTCTTCTCGCCTTCTTCAGTCATTTCCTTAGATGAATGGGTATTCAACACGGAAGCCCACCCTCTGAGGATTGTGACCAGACATGAAGAGGGGCTTGATAAGAATTTAAATGAGAAGCAAAAACCTTTTTCTAGAATAGGTGGCAGGAAAGAAGGAAGGTCAGGTTAGATGTCCATTCTTCTCTAACCATTACTGATTGAACCCCTTTAAACAAAACTGTAGAACAGTAGTTTCTTCTATTATGGAGGCTTCTAAGATGTCAGAATTTTCTCATTGGGAGTAGGTTTTGTGGTTGGGAAGGGTAACAAGGGGTTCATTCAGCCATGAATGGTATAGGAGGAGGTTCAATCAGCTATAGGAAATAGTTCTTCATCGAAGTTCTTAAAATGGGTTTATTCATGGTGAACATGACCTTTGGTTGATGATGACCCTTTTTGAAATTCACAGCTTATAGTTTGTTGTCTTTTATTTTTATTTTTATTTTTTTTCTGGTGCCAAATTTTCAGAGTTCTGTTGAGGCATATATCTGCTCATTGAATAGAAGATAATCCCTGCCTGTCTACATTTTTCTTTATAATGCTTTTACTTACTGCGGAACTTTATGAAGCGGAAGATAGGGTCACACTTTTTTGTTATGGTAAAATAAGTGGTTCTCTGCCTTCGACCATTCTGACATTTTTTCAGATAACTATGAAAGAAAGCCTTCATCTTTTTTGTCTGTTATTGGATAATGAGATTCATGATTTATCTATGGATATACACACTGTGATTGTATCGAGGAACCAAAATTAAAAAGTTGATTAATAATGTAGTCGCGGGTGAGTTACAATGGGGTGATGTTTGATCAGTTTGCAGGATGTTAGATTTCTGTTTTGCTATTTTTGTAAAGAATGGTTAATCACCTAAAAGCTATACAACTTTAATAATATCATAAAAGAGAAAAAAAAACCTCTACACTATAGACGCTCAACAGAACAAGTGAGTTTGAATGGGACCATTTCTTTTGTCAATGCTGTGATGGTTAATATCACTGGTTTGAAAATCAAGACGGTTGGATTTAATCGGCTTAAAAATTGGTATATTGTTTTTAAATGATTATATTTTAATTAAATTGGGATAAAATTAAAAAATTTGGATAAAATTTTAAAAAAATGATCAAGTTTTTGAGTCAAATTAAAGATAATTCTTTTAATATAGTTTTTTTTATAAAAGATATAATATATTTTTTATTTTATATTTTTTGTGTCAATTTTAAATAATAATTATTTTATTATATTTTTATTTTATTTTAATAATTATTTATTTTACATCTTTTAATATATTTTATATTTGTAATTTTTATTATAATTTATGTAATTATTATTATAATATTTATTAATTTTTTATAAAAATAATAATAATTATTAAATTAATTATATTATAAAAATATTATTTTATTAAATTTCTGGAACGGTTTAAACCCTAAATCTGTAACGATAACATTTTCAGTTTTAAAAATATTACTTTGAAATCATGTTTATGTACTAATATTAATATTTGAAAGAATTAACCTTGCAAGGATAATGTTAATATTTGAAAGAATTAGCCTTGCTGTACACATTTTATTACAAGAGTCAAGAAAATACTTATATGTCAAAAAGAAGAGTAAATTACACTTTTGAATCATGTATGAAGCTTAAATGTACTTTATTTTAAGAATTATATTCTACTCCCTCCTCATAGTATTTTTTTTTATCTGTTTTTTTTATGATTTTTATGTAAAATTTAATAATGTTAAATTTGGAAAACAACTGATAAAAATATATTAAAATCAGAAAACAAAATAGAAAGAAAATGAAAGGAAGAAAATAAAATAACTTGATATATTTGTCAATAATTAGTTTTAAGTTTAAAGTATAGATTATGGAGTATTACAAAACAACATGATTTTGGAGATTTATTTTTCTAGAGTCTATAAAATAAAAATGTAAGGACATATAAACCCTTGATTTAAAAAGATGTTTAATTTAAATCAAAGTTGGATGTATTTTTACTTTCTAACTGTACAAATTTACTTAAATGTAAATTGTCTATTTTATCCTTGAAATAAAAGTATTATAAGTTATAAAAATAATTAAAATTGTATTTTGCATGTCACTTTAGTTCTATTATTAGAAAATTTTTGCATTCAACATAACTACTATCATAGTGGTCTTTTGTAGTTATCACTTATTGTAATTTTGGTTCTTGAGGTTTATTACTCATTTTAGTTCCTAAATTTAGCTATTACTTCTATTTATATTAATTCCTACAGATAAATACTTATAATATATTTATAGAACTTACTTAAAATTCGAAAATACTTTTTAGACCAAAATAATAATAAGTAATTAAATTTAAGTGTCCAAGAATTCATCATAAGGTAAATGCTATGAAAATCAATCCCCAAAAAAGTTGTTAAGAAGAAAACATTGATTGGGCTATGAGATGGTGTGTGCATTTCAGAGTTGGAGTGGTTGAAGATAGAGAGAAGAAGGAGAGCTATAATTGGCGGAATAACGATTTTGTTTCTTCTTCTTCTTCTCCTTCACCTCACTCTTCTACTTCACTTCACTTCACATTAACACGGAACAACACTGGATACTGATATAGTAGCTTAAAACCCTAGGTTCGTTTCATTATCATTTTGCCACAAGGTAGTTTCGAAATTCGATCATCGTTCACTGCCACTGAGACTGGGTTCCGTAAATCATTTTGAATTAATGCTAACATCCTACAATCTTCTTCGCTCCCGCTTCCGCCGCTGCCACCACTACGCCGCCGCCTACCGTTCCCTCTCCGTGGTACTCGTGAAACCGGACCACCATCCGCCTCCTATCGTTCCCTCCTTTTCGCATCCTTCAAAGCCTAAACAATTCATTCTTCTCGCCTTCAATGCTCATCGCTTCCACTGTCATCGCAGTACGTTTACTTCTCTTGTTATGCTACTTTTCGTTGTTTCATTATCTTATATTGATTCATTCGTTTGTTCACCTCGTTCTTTTTTTTTAGGTTTCTTCACCAGGGCTAAGCCGGCTCAGAACATCGAATTCAACGATCGCCACAGGTTCCTTTTATTTATTTAATTAATTTTTAATTTCATGCAATGTGTCGCGATTATGCTTCCTAATTTGCCTGCACCCGCTTCTGTTTGTTGTGTGTTACTGTAGTCAGCGTGCTGTTAAAACTGCATTGTGGTGTAACTTTCTTGTTTTTTCACTCAAGTTTGGAGTATGGTTAGCTTCCTCTAGTCATGTTATGTTTGCTGAAGTCATCCATTCAGTTGCCGATTTTGCAAACCAGGTATATTTTATGTTATGGTAACCTAATTTTAGCTTATTAGCCTATGGATAATAATGGGATAAACTTATTTCGTTTATTTTTATTTTTATGGAGAAACTTATTGAAACAAGACCTAGACAGTTCGCATTGGACAGTGTGATGCTTAGAAAATCCAGAGACTGATGTGATCTCAATAACTTTTCTTGTAGGCGCTACTTGCTTATGGTCTAAGTAGCTCAAGACGCGCACCAGATGCTATTCATCCGTGAGTTAAACAGTGTTGATTATATTTGTCACCACTGGCTCCCAATTTTTTTGTTTTATACTCAATATGGAGATTATTTCTTATATGGAATATGCATTGCCATTCACATGATGTATGATTCAGGAACTATTGTACATGTAATGGACGAAATATGTGTGGTTATTGGTTAGCAATTGAATATGATTTCTGAGAATAGTGCTCCAATCACTGATTGTGCAAAATGTAACTAGACTCAAAATATGATAATAATTTGCTGTGGCATTCATTTGTATTTCATGGCATGAGCTTGCCGTTGCATAAATTGGAACTTTATCGGTGTGTTAAATGGATGTTTGTGTCTTCTATTTATGCAGTTATGGCTATTCCAAGGAAAGATTTGTTTGGTCCTTGATATCTGCTGTTGGAATATTTTGTCTCGGTTCTGGTGCCACCGTTGTTAATGGAGTTCAGAATTTGTGGGTTGCACAGGTATTTAGCTAAATTGCGTTTTTGAAATAAATAAATAAAAAATACACTTCTTTCATATATTTTTGTCAGTTTGCTTATTTTATTCATCTGTGAATTTTCTCTTATTTAAGTTATTGACTTTTGAGACTTTCTTTTTCAGCCCCCTGAGAATATGCATTATGCAGCTTTGGTTATATGTGGTTCATTTGTCATTGAAGGTACTGCTGTCTGCATTTCAATCTGGGTGCAGTCTATTCTCCTTTGTCTATTTCAGTCCTTTCCTTTTTCAATGGGCATTTTCTGTTAGGTGCTTCTCTTATTGTTGCAATACAAGCTGTTAAGAAAGGTGCAGCTGCGGAGGGAATGAAATTAAGAGACTATATTTGGCGTGGCCATGATCCTACATCTGTTGCTGTGATGACAGAGGTTGTAACTTGTTGCACTTGCTCATGTTTATTTCCCAAACATGTTACAGTTAATTTGGTTTAAACAAGAATGGCTGATGGTATTTTTTGGGGGTTGGGGCTCATTTTAGAAATAAGAGTTCTGGATAAAATGCATTGTTTTTAACATGTATATTTGGCTGTATTTGTCCACAGAAACAGTTATTTTGAAGCTTGGTCTGTTTTTATAGATATTTGACTAACTGGACCTCAACTTATATGCTACCCATGGTATGTATTTTTGTTGTCATTCTCCGTCAGAAAAAGAAACAGGGAGGAGTTACTTAAAGCTTGTATTCCTGACAGGAGTTGCATAATTCTCACTTTAATGGGCTTTGCAATATGAATTTTGTCTTTGTATTTAGTTTCTGCATAACCCTATTAACAAATTAATATTTTGTTGTGTTGTTGATTCTCATATATGGTAGCAAAATATGCAGGATGGTGCTGCAGTCACCGGCCTTCTCATTGCTGGGGCATCATTGGTTGCGGTAAACGTAACTGGAAATGGCATTTATGATCCCATAGGTTCCATTATAGTTGGCAACTTACTTGGAATGGTAAGTCGGGCTCAGATGACATCAAAAATCCCCCCGTCATATGAAGTGGTGTCTATTTTTTTTTTTTAATTCCGTGCTGACTTAACCATGCAGGTAGCCATATTTCTTATCCAGAGAAATCGACATGCTTTGATTGGTAGAGCTATTGATGACCATGATATGGAGAAAGTACTTCACTTTTTGAAAAATGACCCGGTACAAGCTTTTTGCTAGTTTCTACTGGAATCACATAAAATTTTAGCATTCATTTGACTAAGGTAACTTTTGTGCTTCAGGTTGTAGATTCCCTCTATGATTGCAAAAGTGAAGTTATTGGGCCTGGATTCTTCAGATTTAAGGCAGAAATAGGTTACCTTTCTCAACTTTGTTACTATTTTTTATGTTAGGTTGTGGATATAATTCTTGTATCAAAAAAAAAAAAAACGGTTGTGGATATAATTCGAAAAAATCTATATTTAAAATATGACCTATTTGGTTGTGTTGTTTTGTAAAATGAAAAGGCACTTTTTTAATTGAGGGATATGTTAAAAAAAATTATTATATTATTTAACTTTTCACAGAAAATTGACCATCCATAGTCTGACAGTTATGGACATGAAGGCTATGTTTGGATTCATGGAATGGAGGGAAATGAAATATGATGGTATTATGTTCCTTTTCTTGGGTTGGTAAAATGACAGTGGAATACAATAGAAATTACTGTGATCTTATTCCATTGTTTACCTTCATTACTCTTTCCTCTTAATTTGGGAGGAATGAGATGGAATGAAATTGTTTCATTCATGCCATCATAAAATATCGAAATTCTCAACAATGGAATGGATATTTCATTCCATTATGTTCAATTCTACTCCATTCTATCTCACTTCTCTGTATCAATCCATAGATGCCCAAAGTCTTGTGTTATTTCAATAATCTATTTGATCCTGGTATATATTAAATCCTACTATCATTATTGTTTGCTATATTTTTCACCGCAATTTTTTGGTTATTTGAAACATATGCTTAATCCTTCTTGGGTTTCAACTTATATATCATACTATGTATGTGCTCTCAATGTTTCTATTGTTGCTATCTATTTGAATTAGTACTAAGAAGTAAAAACAGCAGGATAAGGATATGCTTCATTACACTTGGATGAGGCAAAAACTCTGTTTTAGATTTTTCAGAAGTTACTCTTTCTAATTTGTGAGAAAGTCATATTAAACTGCCTTTGATTTTTTTTTTTCTTTACCACTAAAACTATGTAAATTATGTATTTATAAATAAAAACTGTTTTATTACTTTTTAAATAAATAGCACAAACAAACAGACTTGAAATTGGAGATTTCTATATTATAAATTCAAATATCACTGTCTACAACCATAAACATGTCAAATTCAGGTAATGTTAATTAAGCATGATGACGTAATCTGATTATTCTTGATGAAACAGATTTTAATGGAGAGATGGTGGTGCAAAACTATCTTAAAAGGACTGGACGTGGAGAGTGGGCAAGACAGGTAGATATGCTTTTATAATGTTCGTGTAAAACCTCTGATAATAAGCTGCAATAATGTGCTGCGGTTAATTGTATTATTCACTTACTGCTGCTTTTGATTAAATACTAGCAAAGCAGGAATGCATTTGCAATTACCTTACATTAAAACTATCCTAGGGCATTCGTTTACATTTAAAAGAATAATATATTCCGGCTCTCTGGGCATGACTAGTGTAGATTACCTCCACCTTTCAGCTTTCTGGATCATTCAACAATAGTTCTATTGCCCGGCTTCCCTGTAATTGTGTGGTTTATAATCTTTAGATATTTAACTTTCATAACAACCAAGTTTATTTACAGTTTCGTGAAGCTGCAAAGAAGAAGGATGATACTGCCCTGATGAATATTATGTCAAATTATGGTATGCAGTGGTAAACTTGATCTTTATAGTCTTACTGATTAAGTAATTTCATGCTTACAGTTGTAAGATTTGACAGGTGAGGAAGTAGTTACAGCTTTAGGAAGTGAAGTAGATAGATTAGAGAAGGAAATCCAGAATCTCGTGCCTGGTATTCGGCATGTTGATATTGAGGCCCACAATCCCCCAACAGAGACGACCTTTTCAAGTGAAAGTATTCAATAAAATCGACACCCTATTCACATTCATTTATATTATCAAAGCATTTATGAAAATCTGGTTTGGCTCTATAGTATCATGAGTTCTGAAGAATGTACGAAGTTTGAGTTACATGCCTCAAGTTGAACAGCTCTTGATACATTAGTGCACAAGTACTCATGTTTTCCTCTTTGCCGAAACATGACATCTGAGCGACCTCGAGTGTGAAAGACTAGAAGGCATGTAATATTATATTAAACAATGCAAAGTTCAATAAATAATTAGAAACAGTAACTTTTTTGTGTTCTGCAGTTCCTGTCACTTGCAGCAAGTACCATAGTTCATAGTAAAAAGTAATTGAGGTATGTTATTAACGCATTCTTTAATATATATTTTATTTTTACACGATTATAATATCATATATGCCACTGTTTAAGCAAAAATCATTTATTAACGCATTATTCAGGTTTACAAAATTATAATATCATGTATGCCACTGTTTAATCAATGAGTCTTATAATTTCGTGAGTCTTAGTTAATAATTAATACACGAAATTTTAATTGAATGGTAGCATAAGCCTTTGCTTTAGATAGAGTCCACCGCAAGGTGTAATTGTTGTCAACAATGAGATTGCCTACTAATAATACATCGAGTTAATGTGATGATTGTTCTGGCAGCTTGACACTTGGTTTGCTTGGAAGACTAGTTTCGTGAGAAATTAGTTTTTTGCTTTCTTAGGATATAAAATACAAATGTATATAATATAATTGTCATCCCGATAGCAGATGTTCAGGGACAAAGTGAACGATCTTTATAGTGGGGAGATAAATACAGAATTTGCAAAATCTTAACTTCCAGAGAAATCATGAGAACCTCTAAAATTCAGATGAATTTAGGAAAGGATTTCTATACATGGCTTTCTACTCAAGGACATAAAGTAGGGGGATACTTGAGTCCAATTCCGGACAATAAGGCAATTTTATCAGTCAGATCACATATTTAAATTGGACCTACGAAGTAAATTTTAACATAGTATCAGCTCAAATAGGCCTAGTAATCCATTCTGATCCAACGAATGAAACAAACATGGGTCTTAGAGACTTGAGAAACACACCCAAATGAACTAAAAACAGGTTAAACTTCTTCTGTCCCCATTAATTTCTTGGATCATCTTTCGTTCATTTTAAAATGGATTTTCTGGAAATTTACATTGCAAAAAACTCATTTTAGAAAGAATGGGAGGTGAGTTACCGATACATAAGGTGACACTCTAAAATAAGCAATTGACTATGGCCTTTTTCGTAGATTGAGTAAAAGCCCAGCCTAAAGAAAAGCCTAGGCAATGAAAAATAAAAATAACAGACTACAGGTTAAGATGATGTGCAAATCACAAGAAGACCAACAAACAAACAAACGCAACTGGACTTGTCCAGATCATCACTCTCTATATTGGGCCCGCATGAGAAATTCTAACAACTCACATAATTGCTGGTAGCAAATGCAATTACAACTCTTGTTTTCCTACAAATGACTTTCGAGCTCGCTCGCGCACTTTAACTCGTTGTTTTTTTTGTCTGGATTGCAATATTTCTACATTGTTTGTTATCATCGCCATTGCTATTCATTTTGAGGCTTCAGCTTGTAGACTTTCTAGGATTCGAAGAGCATTTTTTAATAAGGTTATATTTTGATTGAATTATCATGTGTAGGTTAATGATTGAGCTTACTAGGATGCTTTAACTTGCTACACGACTTGTGCTAACTAGGGATGATTAGACTAACTTGATAACAATCTTTAATTTCGAAGACTAATTTAAAATTTCAATAATTTCAAACACAAAATTTACGATACTACAATTTTATAATTAGACAAGTATTTTATTGATGTATATATAGGGTATTTAACGTATCAATAGTCTTAAATTATTTTAGATATGAAAGAATTGAATTAGTTCACAATTACATAAACATTTCCTGTTAATAAAGAACAAAAAACCAAGATTTAATATACTATATCACTTCTTGGGATCCCATATACATACATCCCCTTTAATGCCATTTGTTACTATCAGTATAGCCGTATATCTATAAAAATATAGACCCAACCTTTAAATCTGTGAAATAACCCTACAGAACCAACCCTCCAAAATCCATAATTGATGTTGACTTGCGAATATGGACATGTAAAGATTAAATTAAATTCGGAATGGGGGAACTCGAATAATTCAAATTCAGAAAAGGTCTTTCATACTAGAAATTGAAAATCAGAAATCTTAGCATTATAATGCGAGCATATAAATAGCAATACCTTAAAATAAAAAATAACATTCATACTCAAACGAAAAATATTCAACCTTAAAAAAAAAAAAAACTTATCGAAGTCATAATTGTGCTATTCTCAAAATTTCAGATACGAAAATAGTTTGATCATGATCTAAAGACAACAAGAAAACATTGATTCAGCTAAACCACCGCTCAATTCATCCTCCTGATTAGCTCATTGATGTAATTCTCCCGGTTTCCAGCATCACCTCCCTCAACGTAGTGGTTTCTCTTCTTCTTTAAGCCACCCAAGGGAGCCTTGAGCTTAAATGGCCAAAGGAAGTTGTTAGCCTCCTTAAAGTGAGGTCCAACAGTGATGATCTCGTGGATAAGATCTTCAGCTGAAATGATTCCATATTTGCCCAGTGCCTGTCATCTAAGCAAGTCAGCAGCATGAAGTGAATTAATTCAAATTTGTATTAAAGTGGTTGACTATCATACCTGCTCAATGATAGAGTTGTCTGTTAGAGCAGTCCTCTGCTTGTTGAGCTTTCCATACCCTCTTTTGTAAATAAGTTCTCTCACACTCTTCAGATTTGGGTATCTACAACAAAGACCGATGTCTCTTTAGTTGGTACATAAGTGAGTAATCTTAAAATATTAAAGACATAATTAAACGAAATTGGCATACCCATAAGTCACATATGGTTCTACTCTGTGCAGCATGTTCACTGTGGCTTTGTTGACCTTGAGAAATACACCATTGAAGATCTGATTCACAATAAGACAACTATCAGTATCACCTACTTACTTTCACGATAACGAATTAATTAAGTATTAATGATTTGAGAATGCTCTAATATGGATCACAGTATGTACTTCAAATAGCAACAGGTTCGCATTACCAAACACAGAACAAAGCATAACAAAACACTTGGTCATCCAATAGTTCTTAACAATTTATATGATGAGTTTTCTGGCCCTGAAAGTCAGGCACTTCATCATTTTCCAATATTAAGCCGTAAGCAAAATCTCGTGCAATCAAAGCCATTTTGATCAACCATAAAACCATTGTTTTGAGGGAAATAACGAAAGCAGCAAAATGTCATGACTAAATTAACTACACTAGTTACAATTGCCATTCACTTTATAATCTCTACACTATTTTTCTCCGAGAAAAAAAAACTACTGGTTTATACTATACTACCACCAGTATTCAGTCCAACTGAAAAACATAACAAGGAATAAAGCATCATACGCATACTACAACCACATAAAATATACCTGTCTCAATCGCAAGAGCTGCAGGATCTTCCTTGATTTGGGGTCCATCGCATTGATACTGAAAAGAACGATTGCATACTTAGATAAACCTAAATAGTCTAAAATGTCAGATGAAGTTTATACAAATACACACAAAAATACACACCCACGAATGCGGATAATAAACAAGAGCTTAGCCTCTGGATCCACATAAAATCCACCTTTCAGTTTAGCCTCACGTTTCAACCGAATCAATTCCTTCTCCTATAAAAATAAAATAAAACAACAGGTTCAAACGGAGGCATGAAAAAACAAAACGCAACTATTACAACAAAATCAGCGTAAAAAGTTACGGAAGATTACCTGTTGATCGTACTCCCTAGCGTACTGCTTGGCTCTGTTGTAGATGAGTTTGCGGCTCTCAGCTCTCTTCTTCTTCGCAGCTTCTAGCTCCTGCTTCTTCGCCAAAGCCCATTCCTCTTCCCTCTTTCGCTTCTTCAGAACGGACTCTGGAACAATTGCCTTCACTTCCTCACCCATCTCTATCATTTGCACAATGAAATCACACAAATGAGACTAAAACTTGCAATGTTTCCAGATCCAAACAACAACATCACACGTTTGGAAGATACAACAATGGAAGATCAAAGATGGGAAGGGAAACAAGAGACATACCTGTTTGGCGCTGTGGCTGCGAATTAGGGTTTTCTCTGGTGGGCTTGACAAATATGTGCAATAAGAAGAGGTAGGGTTTTGTAGTAGTAGTTCAGTCCCTGGGCTTCTTGTATTTGATGGTTCTGATTTGTCTATTATTTCAGAGAATAATTCTGACCGTCCATTCACTTAAGGCCATTATTGGGTTAGGCCCGTAATCATTTGGAGACCCGAAGAGGCCCAAATATCTGTCTTCATTTTTTCTTTGTGTCCTCTTTGCTATTCTTATTTTATTAAATTTTATTTTAAGGTGCAAGATTAATTTAATAGTATGATTATTTTTCTACGTAATTTAGGTATAAATTTTTGTTAGGTTTGTATTTTAGTTATATATATATATAAAAGAATTTGTTCGTTTGAAGAAAAAAAAAGACATAAAAAATGACTTGTAAAAAAATAAATAGAAAAAAGTATTTCTTGCTTAAAAAATGATAAAAAAATAAATTGATATTTTTCAAAATCACCTCTCTTTTTTTTCTTCAAAAAAAAAATATATATATATATACTTAATTTTTATTAATTTATTATATTTAAAAATCACAAATTTCTTTCCATCTCATTTCATTTTTTAATGATCAAATACATATTTTACTTTATTTTATATATATATATATATATATATATATTTATTTTTTATTTTTATTTTTTTTGTCTTTCCTCACGTTGAACAGAGTAACTGACCCAAGATCTCCCATACACTCTTATACAGACATTTGCACACTATGAACGTGAAACCAATTTTTTTTTTTAAGAACGAAAGAACTTATTCATAATAAAATTGAATTCTCCATAAATTATAAAAAAAATTATAAGACATTCTCTCCATAACTAGGAATGATTAGACATTTTTTTTAATTCAATTTCAATAATAAGACTTTATTATCGTAAACCATTTACATATATAAACAATGTAAATTAATCTCCTTTCAATCCATGTGTGCCCATATTTGTTTCCAAACAGTGGGTACAATAAAATACATTAGTATATATATATATATATATATATATATATATATATTAATAAAGTTTCTAAAAAAATTTATTAATTTTTTATTTATTTAAAGCGTCAACAATAGACAAGTAGTTTCTTAAAAGAAATTATAAATTATTATCCTACAATTGTAGTTGCATGCATGTCCCTATACATGATACAGAAAATATCAATAACATGTGTTGGTGCATTACTGTACCCGCACCACATGTAGGAAGTTTCCGCGAAATTTCGTGCCTTCTTTCCAAAGCTCCTCAGTCTTCATCACTCCCAAGTCAATGTTTCTTGTCCCTTCCTTTTTCATTCTCAATGAAAACCAAAGGAAAAACAATTTCCTGTATTCACTCCTGCCAAGCTCATGTTAATGGATATCAATCTCCTCCGCAGACTACGCATCGATTCGTAAATCCCCGCTCATGCACATCGGTACATTCTTTTTTCTCTATTACTGCATTCAAATTTATTAATCTGTTGATACTTCAATCGATGTAGAATTTCCATTGTAATATAACATCTTTGAGTATTTCGACAACGATAACAGATGATGTAATGAATTCAATAGTGAAGATTTTCACCTAACTCAATCTATGATTTGGTAATATTTGTAGATCCTCAACAGAAGTTAATTTTACTTTATCGTTTGAGCCGTTGTTGAACACATTTTCCTTTACGGCAGAATCAACTGTTTCCTTCTGACTCAGGAGGTGATAATATATACTAAGGAATAAGGAAGTGTATATGAACTCGTCGTTTTATCCAGATTCATCATCATTATCACTCATCAGGTATTAACTTATAATTTCAGGATTCGATCGGTTTCTATTAATTTATTTTTCGTTCTGGTAACTCGATAGATTATTATCTGCGTTGCGTCTGATGTGATAAATAAGCAAATTGAGTGCCTCATTATGCAACCCTTTTCGAATGGGTTGTGTTAAACCAGCTAACTCTATCCATCTTTGCTGTGTTTAGATTTCATTGTTTTCACTCTTAATCCTTTTAATCAAGTAGAAGTAGAAATCTAAAATGCAAATAAGTTGTTTCTTTAGAATGAAATTAAAATCTAACCTGAATCTTAGGTGTATATATAATTCGGGTGCCTCGTGGGTAGGCCAATAAATTTGTAATCTATGGTATATATAAATTGAATGTACATGGACGCGAACCCATAGATTTATGTTTCAATTCATTTTATAGAATAATAATAATAATTTTTAAATATAAATAAAAATAATATTATAAAGATAAATATTATATTTTAATAAATATTTAATTTAAAATTTAATGATTAGGAGAAATAGGACTTTAAATTAATTAATTAAAAAATAATAATGATAACAAAGTAGGTTTTATTATTATTTTGATATTGAATAGATTCGTTATTTTATAATTTATATATTAAATAATTATATATTAAATAAAAATTATTTTTTTTAATATAATTTAAATTTTAAATTTTTTTATTTAAATAATTTTTAATTAATTACTTTAATATATATATATATATATATATATTCTTTTTTAAAAATTTTAATTCAATCAAAATTAATCTATTAATTCGTTGAAGTAACATAGGATCTAGCTCTAAATTATAGTCCAATATAAATTGTAGATTAGAAGGAATCCATTTTTTTTACTGTCTCTTATGACTAAATTGATTGAATTACCGTTTTAACAAATAAATTTGTTTAGCTTGAAAATGTGACATAAAAAAATGTGGAAATTATAAAATATAACGATTTTAATATTTATGATTATAATCTATAAATTATTAACACTCTCTTGAGAATATTCACGTCCGTGGACTATATAAATATTACTTTTGATAATTTTACCTTAGATGACAACTGGGATCAGAATGTCAACAACATTCATCCCAATGTGACAAAAAATAAGTTTCATTTATTTGATACATGAAAAAAAATATTATCTGCACGTAAAAGATTTAATGAATTAAATAAAATAATGTATTTACCAGTAATAATGTAAAACATACAATTATTTTATACTGTTATTCAGTTAAAATTTATCTATCGTATAGATAAAAGCAATATAAATTTTGATAGATTGGTGTGAATTTGTTTACACAGATAATGCCTATTAAAACCTTATATAAATCTTAATTTGAATGAATAAGAATCATTTTTCGTACTTTTGATTGGAAAAAAAAAATCCGATGATAATTAACTGTTGCAACTTTTTTTTATAGTCACGACTGAACTTAAACTTACTAGTGATAGTAAAATTGAATTATAATCAAATCCATTTAAATTTCTACAATCTCAATCCATACTCCTTACCAATTAAGATTTAATAGGGATTTTACTCAATGGAACAAATGTAGTTAGAGATCTACAATGTTAAGGATTATGAAGCTTAGGGCAATAATCATTAAGAGTGCTGATAGTTGAGCGCTATATACCTCCTCTTGCATTGCCTAAGTCATGTTTGGAAGCCTCTCTGCATGATTTTGGTTCAGTAACAAAACTTATGGACATAATAAAATTATGTTACGAAGGTGTCAATTTTTTTTAAGACAAAACAGTAGATAAAGGATGGTGAATTACCGGATGATAATTGGTGCTAGTTGATGCGAAAGAAGTGTGAAAATCTTGAAGGAAAACAGGTTGACATTTGGGTCTTTGAGAGCGACGCAAATAAATGGTAGGAGGAGATAATGTAAGGGGTTCGGTGGTAGTATTTGGAGAGTCAAGTTATTGTGAGAAATTACCCATATCAAAGGAGTTGTTGGGAGGACACGGAGTAAAAAAAAACTAATTTAATTAACACGAGGAGTGGATGAAGAAGAGGTTCCATGCCTTGGTTATTGTGTAAGAAACATGCAAACTTAGAGACATAGAAAAATGCAATAAAAAAAGATGCAAGAAAGACCCAATGCAAATATGAATCTTATCTGATATCATATGATACATCAATAACAACACTTGTTTACAAAGGGGGCAATAATATGGTTATATACCAGATGAAAATAAAATAATATTTGTTATTATGTTACGAGTAAAAGTGATTATGAACCACATTAGCTAAGAATTCTTTGTTATTTAACTAGAGAAATATACTCCAATAGATCGTAAGTTATTTACATGTTTGAATTGAACAAAAGAAACCAGAAAAGAAAAATATAGAATAAAGATGTGCTTTTATTTGAGTAGAAAATAGTAATGAAAAAAAAAACTTTTATAAATAAATATTCCAAATTTTTTTTATTTATATTATCTCTTTAATTATAATTTTTGAACGTTTTTTTTTCCCATATTTGTATTCTGCACCCTACCAATAATCATTATTAATATTGAGATAAGACGATACACCAAAAATCACCATAATATATGATACTAGATTAACTCCACCATATGACAACATTCTAATTTTAAAAATACCCGGTACAAAGATAATATATTAGCTTCACTTCTCCATTGAAATATTATGGTATTAAATTAAATGAAATCTTAGCTTTTAATTTTATTTAATCATAATTAATTTGTAACTAACATTGATTAGTACAAAAGCAAACGAGTACCATAAATCTTAGGAACATGTATATGTATAAAACAGCTCTTGATAGAACCTTTTTATTTTTAGATAAGGGCAATAGCAATGAAAGGTGGTGAGAAGGGATATTATTGTCCACTAAAATAATAACGAATAGTAGCGGCACTCTAGCATTGCCACACAATAGCGGAAGGCGCACAATGCATTCATAATTTTGTTATTTTTTTCGAATAATATATTTTGGTTTTTAATTATTTTTTATTACTAATTATTTTTATTTTGTTTTCGTTTTGTTTGGAATTGGATGCGTGTGTGTGTGGCCCAGTCCTTTGCATTTCCCACGCAGTGAGCATTTGAAATCGCTGTTGTGGCTGGGAAGACGCAAAGGCAGCAACCATGACCATGAATGGCCACAGCCACCATACTGTGCACATCGCTAACAGCACGAACCCTAACGACGAAGACGACGACGACAACGCATTCTCTCGCTCCTCCTCCTCCGCCGCCGACGACAACAACAACCACCGTGAAGATGACGACGAAGAACTCGTGGATCCTGACGATCCTTTCGACATTACTCACACGAAGAACGTCTCGCATGACACGCTTCGCCGTTGGAGAGTAAACATTCTCTTACTATATCCTTATCTCTGTTATTTGACTGTGTTTTTTACCTCTGTTTTGTTATGCATCAATATTCACTCGCGCGCGTTGCTTGTCAACATAAATCATTGTACGTTTCGGTGTATGTAAGTAAATGTAGGAGTATGTGTAAATGTATGTAGAGATGCATCAAATTGAGAAGGAGAAATTTGAATCGTTTGCGTAGTTGAAGTGTGTTCCACACGTTTGGGTTTGAATTGCTGGATGTACGCCGTTGATGCATCTCAATGTGACCTAAGGAAATTGGCGGATAAGTGTTGAATGTGTTTTTTAACGGCAATACTACACAGACTAATTTTGAAGTTATAAAAAGTACTTTTGTCAATTTCAATGCAGAAAAGAAGAAGGAAGAAAATGTTTCTTTCAGAATAAAAAGTACTTTTGAAGTCCTTTAACTGAAGAAATCTAAATAGGCATTAACTCGTTGGGACGCTTCTCAGACCAAACTCAATATTGTAATTTGTTTTGCTTAAAATTTAAAATAAGGAAAAAAATCCAATGAATGTGAAAGTTGCGACTATTAATAACCTACAAAATGTCTACTTATTATTATAAATGGAAAGAATGAAAATTCTAAGATGCTTCTTCGGTGCAAAGTGAACGGGTTATTTTTCTGATTTAATCATATTCAAAACGACTGATTGATGTAATCTTTAAGCTAATTATGGAAGAATTAAACTTTTCTCTTGTCATATTTTATGAATGTAGAAATCGCTATTCTTTTGTCCGAACAGTATTTATGGAGAATCCACCAATTGTTGCGAGTTATACAATTATTTTAATCTCTGGATTGTGGTTTAAGATAGTGTATTTTTGACGAGGAGCATTACTGTAGCAGCATATCTGCTTTTGCCAGACATCTAACTAAAGTTTCATCCGTTTCCAGCAAGCAGCGCTCGTGCTCAATGCTTCCAGGCGTTTTAGATATACTTTGGACTTGAAAAAGGAAGAAGAGAAAGAGCAAAAGAAACACTTGATTAGAGCCCATGCACAAGTCATAAGAGTAATATTATGGAAAGACAAAAGTGTTCCCTAATTAATTATTTCTAACTATCTTTTAGTTTCCTAATCTGAGTTATTGTTTTATTAGGCAGCACTGCTTTTCAGATTGGCCGGTGAACGTGAACTAGGTATACTTATTAAATTTTTTCTTCCTCATCTTATAATGATTCTGATGACTGTCATTTTTTCTTACATTGAGCTTTAGGAAATATATATATTTTTTTTTATTTAGCGTTTTCGCACACCACTCTACCACAGTTAACATATCACATATTTGTGGCATTGTTGAATTTGTAGTGTAAATGTAGATATTAAGAGTGGTAACCTATTGGCTCACAAACTGAAAAAAAGAAACAGTTCGGCATTGATGCTGTCAGTTATAGTAAGGTACCGTACAGGGAGCTAGTAGCAGACTAATGATAATTGTTAGGAAATTAATTTAATTATTTGGTTTTCTGTACCTTCATTTAACTTTTTCTGATGTATCTATTATCCTTCTTTGGGTAGAAAAAATTTAACAGGTAAAAGTCATACTCTCTTGTAGATCTGTTCCATTGTGAATTGCTTTTCAGTTTTTAGTCCTTCTTGGATGTCATTATACATTATTTATAAATATAAATCAATCTGTCTTCTGTACCATGAATCCTGGTTGTAGCCTTCAATTAATTAATCGGCTTTTGGAATGTACAAGCTTTTTTTTGTCAACTATAATAATACCAAATGAGCAAACTGCATGTGGTAAAATATTAGTACATTTTGAATTGCAAACTTTCTTTTTAGTTACTTATCATGGTCTTTCAATTTATTTTTTGAATCATCAGTGATAAGTACAGCAGTGTCACCCCCGACTCCCGTTGGTGACTATGATATTGGGCTCGAACAACTTGTTTCAATGTCTAAGGATCAGAATATTTCTGCTTTACAACAATATGGAGGGGCAAGTCTTAAAAATATGTTGTTTGGTTGCTTATAGAAGTGTTGAAGTTATTTGCTTTGCTAACACAATCAAGTGATATCTTGTCCAGATTCGAGGCTTATCAAATTTAATAAAATCTAATCCGGATAAAGGTATAAGTGGAGATGATGCTGATCTGTTAAAAAGGAAAAATGCATTTGGAACAAATACATATCCTCGGAAAAAAGGAAGAAGTTTCTGGGTATATTTTAACGAGTTTATCATCCTACAGAATTTTTTTCTCAAATTATAATTGATGAATTAATTGTGATACTAGCATTAATCCTTTGTGATTGTTTCAGAGGTTTTTATGGGAAGCTTGGCAGGATCTGACTCTCATAATATTGATAATAGCTGCTGCGGTGTCATTGACACTTGGAATAAAAACAGAGGTGCAATCAGCATCCATAATTTCTAATAGTCAAATTAGGTGTTGGGCATATATATGTTTCATGCTTATGCTTTGCTGAAATGCTAGGTTTTTGGCCTTTTTGATAGATGATAGATTTCAAAGAAAATTTTAAGATGATCCTACCAGGTCTTATTTGGCTTGTTTGAATAATTTCTTTCACATGGGGAATTGTTTCAGAGGATCAGGAACACTGAGATTCAATAACAGTAAGAAAAAAAATTCGTGAACTTTCTTGACAATCGATTGGGTGTCATGTAGAAGTTGGATATATCTGCTCACCCAATCAGTAACAACATAAATCAGATGTTTTAATAAAAAATAAAAATAAATAAAAGTGTGATGCTAGTTTGTTGTGCAAATCTTTCTGAGTTATTGCTGGCCTGCATCATTAATTTTATACTATTGATACTTGATCATATCATACATGATAAAATAAGATGAATTCACCATGTCATATGTATTTACAGTTTTTCACTCCATGATGTCTTTTGGCCTTTTATGACATTACTAAATTTTAACAGTTTACTCTACATTTTATTTTGGGACCCGTCTGTTCTACTTATATGTCTGTTTATATATGGTGCTTGGTGCTGAATATTGTGATTATTCTTGTCAGTTGAATAAATTTGTTTGGTATTTTCTATTGAATTGACTAAGTTTATCTATCTAGAAGTTTATCCTTTCCTTTATTTGTACTTGATAGGGTTTGGCAGAAGGATGGTATGATGGGGGAAGCATTGCTTTCGCAGTTTTGCTTGTCATTGTAGTTACAGGTATTGCATATATTATATAATATTTTTGGATAAATAATTAATGAATATCCTTCTATGAAAATATATACACATTTCTATAGGGGAGATATGGGAGATTTGGCGTGTGGCCAAACTTATATTTTTCCTTGCGACTATTTATGTTCTTTTTGGAATATTAGTCACTCTACATTGGAAGTCTGACTTTATGCTATTGCTTTTCCTTGTTGTCTGCCAGCCGTCAGCGATTACCGGCAATCTCTGCAGTTTCAGAATTTGAATTCAGAAAAACAAAATATACAACTGGAGGTGTGTAACATTATATTAGTAAAACTTAATTTTGGGCAACTAAATGATATTCTATTGAACTTGTTACAGGTTATTAGAGGCGGGAGAACAATTAAAATGTCAATATTTGATGTTGTTGTTGGTGATGTTATACCCCTAAAAATAGGAGATCAGGTGAATCTTTATAGTATTTGAGTTTCTGTAAATTGAGTAGTTTGCTTTGTTCACTGATTACTCTATGGGTATACTCAGGTTCCTGCAGATGGAGTATTAATCACGGGCCATTCACTCGCAATTGATGAATCCAGTATGACTGGTGAAAGCAAGATAGTACGTTTTAGATCCTTTCTATTGCAAATTTTTGTTTAATAATACTTATGACTTCAAAGAATTAGTGCTCTGCAGGTTCATAAGGATCACAAAACACCATTTTTGATGTCTGGTTGCAAAGTAGCGGATGGAGTTGGTGTTATGCTGGTATGGCATGATATTTTGTCCTCTTATGCTGTTTTTAATATGAAAAATGCTATATGGTATAAATTTATTTTGTGAAACAACTCACAAACAAAGAAAAATAATAAAAGAATTTGTTGCCTTTTTTAACATTTACATTTCAATCTTGCTTCTCTCTCTCTCTCTCTCTCTCTAATAGGAATTTATCACTGTTTTTCACAAGAAGTTTCCTAATAAATATAGCATTGTTGACAGAAATTTATTTGAGTTATTTTAGTGCATATATTTCTGGCTTACGAAATTTGTTTTATTACACTCTTGGGCACAAAATTAGAGTAGATGTCCATGTCCCTTGTACTGTATTGTTGATACTTTCAATCAATTGAAATGTCTTGAATTGGATAAATTAGTACCATTTTTTTCAGATTAGAAAATGTAAAATTATTTTTTCATTTGTAATAATAATAAATTCTTTCAACAACTTTTTTTGTTTAATTTTCATTATCATTCTGTTCTTCGTTTTGGTGTTCTTCTCTATGCAAAATTTCTTAGAATACTCTTATCTTTATTTTAATTTTAGTGATCTTTAAGGAAATAATTAAATATACACAATGCCATCACCAGAAGTAACATTTTAGACTGCCATATGTAGGTAACTGGTGTTGGTATAAATACCGAATGGGGATTGTTGATGGCAAGTATCTCAGAGGACACTGGAGAAGAGACTCCGTTACAGGTTCCCCTTGCTCTATCCTAAACAAAAAAGAAGGCTGTTGCTTTAGCTGTACGTTCATGAAAACAAAGATTTTAAAAATGTGATTACTTTTGTTGATATGTAATAGGTACGCTTGAATGGAGTAGCAACTTTTATTGGTGTAGTTGGTCTTAGTGTAGCTGTTTTAGTGCTTGCTGTCCTCTTGGGCAGGTAATCTACAATCGGTCTTTATTCTCTAATATTTCTTTTTATGTTATAACTCATGAATTTGAGATGCTATATTTTTCCTCTGAAATTGTAGATATTTTTCTGGCCATACCAGAGATATAGAGGGAAATGTTGAATTTGTTGCCGGAGAGACTAGTGTTGACAATGCAGTAGATGATGTCATCAAAATTTTTACCATTGCAGTAAGTGCGAGCTTTGAATTTTTATTTTTTTTTTCTATTTTTTGTAGTTTATAACTAAATATAGTGTCATGCAGGTCACAATTGTGGTTGTTGCAGTGCCTGAAGGTCTGCCTCTAGCCGTTACCTTAACGTAAGTACCATTATCTAGATTATTTCATATTTTCGCAGCATAGATATGGCCAAAACTGGGTTACAGATATTGTTTGTTTCTAATCTGTGTAACTCCTGTGCCACTTTCACAATAGCTTGGCATACTCAATGCAGAAAATGATGGCAGACAAGGCCTTGGTAAGTATCATTTTATGCATCAATCTTTTGTTATTTTTAGTTGTAAAGCATCCTCCCTTCTAACAATAAAAAATGTGCAGGTACGGCGGCTGTCAGCCTGTGAAACTATGGGCTCTGCCACAACAATTTGCAGTGATAAGACAGGAACATTGACTTTAAATCAGGCGAGTTTCATTATCTGAGGCTTGGACAATCTGGAAATTATGACTACAGTTTATAATTTATCTACATTCTATCTTTATAATCTATAACAATAATATAGGCGATATCCCATTTTGATCTACACGCATGTTTTTACCTATTTAAATAATTTATCGTTTAATAGTTATAATTATAACTCCATAATTTTCCAATCTCTATTCAATCTCCTGCCTCTTCTATTTTATGTTATATTCCAATGTTATTCTAACGAAATAAAAAATGAGGACAAACAAGCAGGTGATGCTTATATTATACTCCTTTACACTTATGGAAATGAACAAATGCTTCTTGAGTTATCAAGTTATTCAATTCCCCTTCTCTTAGTGTAGGCAATTTTGGGTTCATGACAAATGGGAATTTACCCTTCCTAATTAGTTTGTCACACTATTAAATGTTATTGTTGAATAAATGTTGGTACCTGCCAAACTTTTAAACAATGTAACCTCATGAAGATAAAATACCCATGATGCTTTTGGGTTGACAAAACAAAGTAGCTTCTATTAAAGTAAATCATAAAGAGATATAAATAAAATCTTTGTGTGTATTATGTACATCAGAGGAATGAATACATATAGATATCATGATACAAAGAAAGATAGGCTTGGACCGATATATTTAATTATTCTAACACTCTCCCTTAAATTGGTGCATATAAATCATATATATCAAGTTTGTTACAAAATAATTAATTCTAGGACCTCGTAATGAAATCATATGTCAATTGATTTTTGACATTCACAAATTGAGTGGTAATGCTTCCAAATAAAATTTCTTCACGGATAAAGTAACAATCTATCTCAATATGTTTGGTCTTTTTATGAAATATTGGATTGAGACCATATGTAGGACAACTTGATTGTGACAAACGAGAGTTATTTGTGTGACCTCCCCAAATCTAAGCTCCTTAAGCAATTATTTAAGCCAAATAAGCTTGCTACTACATTTTGCTTCTTGCTTCAGGAGATTAAATTCTTACAATAATGGGATGGACTGTATACCTTTTTGAAGAGCAGTTAAAAGATCAGATTCATGTGACTGGACCAAAGGAGGTGACAAACAAAGTGGCTTCATTTCCATTTCCATTTCCGTTCACAAATAATCGACTACTGTATGGATTGGAGAAAGATACCTTGTTTCTCAAAGACAATAAGAAGAAACGTAGAAAAGGAACTCAAAACAAATGTGGTTTAATGAAAGAATTTAGTTGTCTGATAGACATGTTGTGTATGTGTTCAGATATTTATAGTAGTCAAAGACAATAGTCTTTGTAGTAAGTTTTACAATTTGTAGAAAACCTACTTGTCCATTCTGCTAACTCCAAAGCATCTTATTTTTCTTAAATAATTGAATTATTATGATGTGATGGTAATTTACTTTATGGCATTACAGATGACTGTGGTTGAGGCTTATGTTGGGAGCACAAAAGTAAATCCACCAGACGACTCATCAAAATTGCATCCAAAAGCATTGTCTCTTATAAATGAGGGCATTGCACAGAATACATCGGGAAATGTTTTTGTACCTAAGGTTTGCCTTTTATGCATGATTTTAACTGTTGTAACTAAAATTCCCTTTTATGTTGTGATATGTGCTAAATAAACTCAAGGACTTGTTCATGGTATTTGATTAGATTTTTTTTAAGAGAAACAGTATTTTGTGTGTGTGTGTGTATATATATATATATATATTTTTTTTTTTTCACTGGTACAGGATTATGCTGGCCTTGTTGTGAATGTAAGTAACATAAAAGATAATAGAAAATTATTGATTAACCTATCCTATTCTTCTTTAGTTATCACTACCAACGTTCTATTCTAATTTCATTAACATTTCGGATTAATATTTTGTATGTCTATCAATAATTAAATCTGTCGCTGCATTTGATTGGTAGGATGGTGGAGAGGTTGAGGTGTCTGGATCTCCTACAGAGAAGGCCATTCTTTCATGGGCTGTCAAGGTAGAAACTATACTGTTTTGTTGTCATGTATTATTTTTTTTCCTGATCACCCACAATGTATTAATATTTTGATTCTGAATCTGAACTCATTTGAATATGGCAGTTGGGAATGAATTTTGATGTTATCAGATCAAATTCAAAAGTTCTCCATGTATTCCCCTTCAATTCTGAGAAAAAGCGAGGTGGTGTTGCTTTGAAACTGGTAATCATTTGATAAAAATATTTTGTTGATGCATCTTTTCATTCATTTAGAGCAATATGTGAACTAGTACTAGACATATTCATCCGTGCGTTTCATTTCTTAACTTTCGCGTGTGAACAATGGTGAATGCTGTTTTCGTTGCTGTTATGGAATCATATGACATGCATGGTTTGCATGTTGATTCATTTTATTAATTTTTATCTTCTTTCTACCCTAATCAGATATACTCATGCAATTTTCCTTTCAGGGGGATTCTAAAGTACATATACATTGGAAAGGAGCTGCAGAGATAGTTCTAGGAGCATGTACTCACTATCTTGACTCAGATGGTCAATTGCAATCCATTGAAGAGGAGCAGGTTAGCAAATGCAGTTTCAAGTCCTAGAGAGTTTACTTCCTCCCAAAAAACCGTACTAGAGAGTTTGCTGATGTAATGAAATTCATTTAGTTGAACATTGGAGATGTAATTTTTTTATTTTTTTATTTATAGACTATCAGAAATTACGGAAAAATGCACGGACTAAAGTTACCACCACATCTTTTTTTTCTTATCAATGTGATTATAGTGTCATTTGACAATACTCTGACATAAAATTAAGCAATTCTGTATCGGCTAACATAGCATCTGATCATTTCTGCAAAAGTATGACATCTGAGATCAGTTGACAATATTTTGGCAATTTCCTAATATTTTGATATAATTTTTAAATTCTATTGCAGGAATTTTTCAAGAAATCTATTGATGACATGGCTGCCCGCAGCTTGCGTTGTGTAGTCATTGCATACAGGTCATATGAACTACGCAAAGTTCCATCTAGTGAGCAGGAGTTAGACCAATGGTCTTTACCGGAAGATGAGCTTGTGTTGCTTGCTATCGTTGGAATAAAGGTAAACTGTGAATTTATGTACAAGGCATTCTGGTTTGTGTATTTATAATTATAATCCTAAACCCCTACTCCTATTATTTATAGCTGAATTTAGAGATTACTTGGTTGTTATCCCTTGCAAATCACCCTGCAATACTTTCTTCTTATTTAAGTTAAAACTAATCTATATCTTCAGGATCCTTGTCGCCCTAGTGTCAAAGATGCTGTAAAATTATGCTCTGATGCTGGTGTTAAGGTAACGAATTTTGTGTTTGATGGGTATGGTTTACGTGTTTTGTGTTGGTTGTGGTTTTTGGCTTTACCATAGCACGAGTGTTACTCCGAAATGAACATGGGACCCCAACACATTCTGTGGTTTGGAATTCACAGGTACGCATGGTTACTGGAGACAATCTCCAAACAGCAAAGGCAATAGCTTTGGAGTGTGGAATACTGGCTTCAAATGAAGATGCTGTTGAGCCAAATATAATTGAAGGAAAGAAATTCCGTGAACTATCTGAAAAGGAAAGAGAAGATATTGCCAAGAAAATAACTGTATGTTTCTTTGGTTGTGATTTCTACTTCTGATTTTTGGTGGATTCACTTTTTTTTTTTGGTGGACGTTGTGATTTTCTTTTGTTATATGCATTATCTCTAAATATTTGATTGATGGATTTTTTTGTCCTTCATTTTTTTGATCTTGTACAAGGAAACGCTGTTCATGTTAATAACTCTAGCCACATTACATCCGAGTTAGATACATAATTTTCTTCGATTATTTGGATAATATATAGGTCATGGGGAGGTCTTCTCCAAATGACAAGCTTTTGCTTGTGCAAGCGCTACGTAAAGGAGGGGAAGTTGTTGCTGTCACAGGAGATGGCACCAATGATGCTCCTGCACTTCATGAGGTCTGTCGTACTCTTTGGTTGCATCCTTGGCTGAAAATCATATATATTTCACTATGAACACATTGAACATTATGTCATGGAGCGTCCATATTTGGTTGGCATGACTTTCGTAAACTTTTCTCATTAAAATTGTTCTGATAGACATGGATTGCTGCGTAATTTTCCTTTAGTAGGAAGTTGTTCTAATGTGTTCACATAGACACGATTGTAGTTGCAGTTGAATGCCCAAAGCCTGTGGTGAATTTCAAGTTTTCTGTTATTAATGTTCCCTCCGTTCTGGATGTAACAATAATTACTTTCGATCTAACATTTGGAATACAAATGCAATTAGTGGTGATTAGTGATGATGTTCTTTCTGTAAGATAACATTTTTTTTCTAGTACCATGCCAATAGCTGTTTGCCTTTTAATAGCACATCCTAAAAATAAACCAGCGTAATGTGTTGGACCACTATTTTAAAAGATGGTGAGGAGAGGAAGAAATGAGGAGTGAAATTGGAGAAAAAGTCATTCTCATAATGTGCTTGTTTTACGGACGCATTAAGGGTTGTTTGGTTTCATAAAAGGTTTTCTCCTTTCATTTCTTGATTTCACAAATTCTACAAAAATGCTACCTTTTTTTCACTTCGCTTTTTAATTTTTTGAAAATTGTATACAAAATTATGAAAATATTTTTTTACAAATATTTAAATATATTTTTACAAATGTTTTCTAAAACCAAAAAATCCCTTATTTTTACAAATATTTAACATACAGATGCCTTGCGCCACCATTTCCTATTATTAAAATAATACCTGTTAACTAAAAGAAACCTTGTTATAGTTAATCCCGTGCTTTACTATTTTGTATTTTAGGCAGATATTGGTCTTTCTATGGGCATTCAAGGAACTGAAGTTGCAAAAGAAAGCTCAGATATTATAATCCTAGATGATAACTTTGCATCAGTAGTAAAGGTAGGTGTTCTCTTTATTATATTCATAGGCTTGGATATGGTATTGTCTTCTTTGTATTTTAACATTTAACATGACTGAGAAACAAGCCAATTTTGTCACTGGATACTGAGGTATGTTCGGCTTTTGGCTTAAGGAGAGATTTATTTCACCAAGACACAGGTGTCCAATGGATTGGTCAACTTGTAATTTGTCTATGATGTTTATTTCATTCTTTGTGTAGGTTGTCCGCTGGGGCCGCTCTGTATATGCAAATATTCAGAAATTTATTCAGTTTCAGCTTACAGTTAATGTTGCTGCCCTTGTAATAAATGTCGTGGCAGCAATAACTTCGGGTGACGTTCCTCTAAATGCAGTACAGGTAAGTATCTCTTCTTCCCTTTTGAGTCATCTACATTTACACTCTAATGCTCTGCTTGGATGAAGAGTTAAACAGAGCGGAAAAAAAAAAGCAAAACAAATAGAAGGTATATAAATTGAAGGAAAATAAAGCATAAATGATATATTGATTGGACAAAACAAAAACTAGAAGAAATGAAGAAAACTTTCTTTGTTTATGTGATTGAGTGGAAGATGAAGTGTAAAAATGTAAATGTATGGCATCAAATATTTTTTTACACTAATTAAAACAATATAAGATTATTTCATTACTTTTGTTAGAAAAAATATTTTTATATTTAAAACAGTTTAAAAGATTGCAGACCTAAAAAAAAGCGGAAAGAGAGTAAAAAACAGGCAATCCAATTAGATTTGAACCACAGCTAAAATCTTAGGCCATAAATTTTGGCCTTTCTTTATCTTATCAATTCTAAACAAGCTTTCTTGATTTTCTTTAATTTAGTATAATGTAAAAATATTTGTAAGTTGTACTAACTGAGCTGGTTGAGTTTGCTTCAAAGTTATTTGTAAGTTGTACTACCACGATGAGTAAACTAGCTCAGTCCTTTTCGTTTAGGTCAGTACTCACCACCTTTGTGAACTATTTTCTCATTGGTTTGGTTTTTGTCATCAAGAAATAAGACTGATAATTACGTATAAGGCAGATTAGATGCATATTTAAATTAAAACTTTGGATCAGAAGTATGTCGATAAAATAATATTTATTTGGATAATAACAATTAAAAATATTTTTTACTTCATCTTTTGTAAATATATCAAAAGTATTTTAACTTTGAAGGCAACTCATTTGTCGCCTCTAATCGAAAGTTTTGCTCCAAATGTACGTTCGACGTTCCCAAACAGATATACCAAAATACCATATAATCATCGTCAATGAAAAAATGGTGAAATTTCTGTCTTTAATGTATACATTCTCTTGGGTGCAGCTTTTGTGGGTCAACCTTATCATGGATACACTGGGGGCGCTTGCACTGGCCACTGAACCGCCAACAGACAGCCTAATGCGCAGATCACCAGTTGGTCGAAGGTTTGGATTGATATGCTTTCTCATTCAGCAGATTAATATTTTTAGTACTCGAAAACTACACTGATCTGGCCCACTGTTAATAGGAATAAGTCTTTTGTTTTTTCTTATGCATAATTTCAACCAAAGAGGCATAACGTAGTGTTGGTTTTGAATGTCTCTTTCTACTCTTGTAATTTACGATGATGTTTTCATTTTCAACTCAATTTAAATTCCACACAAAAATCTTTTATGTGCGTAACATAAGGATACATGGAAGAGGATAAAGTGAGGATTAGCACTTTAGATGATAATTGATGAGAATAATATGACAGAATTGGAAAGTGAGGAAATAATTCTGTCCCACAAAATTTGTGACATTGGAGAAGTTTTGTGGCACTTACGTGCTTTAGATCGTTTATTTGGTTTAAATACATGCTTTAACTACGATCTTATGTTTGGCTTTCAGAGAACCTCTTGTAACAAATATCATGTGGAGAAACTTGCTTGTACAGGTAAATTATATTATTTTATTCTATGGAGAGACTTATTAAGAAAATCATGCAATTAGGAACACTAGGGTCTTTAGCTCTTATTGGCTAATGGCTATTATTTATCATCTCGTAGGCTGTCTATCAAATCACGGTTCTTCTCGTTCTTAACTTCCATGGTGAAAGTATTCTACCCAAACAAGAAACCAGAGCTGATTCCTTTCAAGTGAAGAATACTTTAATATTCAACGCGTTCGTCCTGTGCCAAGTAAGTGATTTTTAAAAATGTAAATATGAGATATTAACTGGTCTTTGTCTCAGAGGAATCACTTTTCCCCTTTCTTTCCTTTTATTTTTTTTTTTTCATCCTTTTCTTGCTGGTTTTTTCCAATGTTGATGGACTGAGCCACTTTTATTCTCATTAGTTACCAAGCACTGTCTTACAAGCCACAGATAACCACCGTTTTTCTTATTTCACTTTCAAAGAAAAAAGTGTTTTTATTTGTCATTTTAAAATTTAAAGATGGTATTAAATACTATTTTTGCAATTATATCCTTATAAAAAAAAGGAAGAATTATTATGTAAAATGTCGAAAGTTATATATATAAGAGAGATCATACCAAAAGATTACAAATAATTGTACCAAAAAAATTACTTATTTACTCTGTTATAATCTCAAATGACAGATAAAGTGAAAAGAAGGGTGAACTACTCCACAACTTTTGATGTTTTAGAATATTTTGTTTTCAAACTAAATTTCAAGTTTCACTTGATTTATTTTTCGCACATACCCTTAATTAAAATAATTATATTAAACTGGGCTTCTAATATATTTAAAAAGCAATTTAATAATGATTTTTATAAATTGTGTTTCAATTATTGAATGTGTGGAACAGTAGAGTTATCTGTCTAAATCTACTTTTCCCTTACTATTTGAGAGCGAAGTGCAACTATAAAATACTATACTAAAATAATGGAAAAGTAATCTATTAATTTACTAATCCAGCTAATTCATATCAAACAATTTTAAAATCTTTTAAATTACAGATATTCAATGAATTCAATGCACGGAAACCCGAGGAAATGAATGTTTTTCGTGGAGTGACGAAGAACAAACTTTTCATGGGTATTGTTGGAGCGACCTTTATACTTCAGGTGAATAACCATCTCTATTTTAATGTGTTATTAATTATTATTATTTCTTAACATTTTCTTGCCTTCTCACTCTACTTCAAATTGTTAGATAATCATCATCCAGTTCCTTGGAAAGTTCACCTCAACAGTGAGGCTTGATTGGAAGCTTTGGGTTACTTCTCTTGGTATTGGAATTGTCAGGTTAGTTTACTCAACTTGCATTGGCATTTGACAACAACACTTTTTTGAGTGCCAATGAATGATGCATTCGCGCTCTTTGGTTATTGTTCACATTTCAAGACCTCTCTCTATATGCTTCATTATACAACATGTTATTATTTTCTCTATATTAGCTTCCTTTTACGATTCATCCAGAAGCTTTTGCATTTTGCCACGAATCTTACCTCATAGTTATTGCTTTTGCCATCTTACAGCTGGCCCCTTGCTATAGTTGGAAAATTCATTCCAGTTCCCAAAACACCATTGGCTCGTTACTTCATGACGCCACTCAGGAGGTTTAAAAGGTCTAGGTCTCGTGCTACACAATAGGCACCAGTTCCTGAAGGGGATAACCAGCAATTCATGTAAGCTAACTTCTCACCGGTTACAATATACAGTATATTATTACACTCCATATTGGTGAATCAACCTTCTAGAATTTCAATGTAATGTGTATATTATTCAATAAATCCCGAAGGGGTTTAAACATAAAACAATCATTACGTGATTCCTTTTGCTTTAACATCATTTGATTTTTTTTAATTTTTGGTTCAAATGTACATTGTAACATTTCTAGATACTGTTAGAGTTGTCACTTGCCACTGTAAATACTATCGAAATGACTTTCTAGCAGTGGCAAGATTCGATTCCACCAATCAAAGAAATGAAATCATAGCGTTTTTTAGGCTTTTAGCCATTTATATTTCATATTTAGTATATTTCTTTTATACAAATTTGTACACGTGAAAAGTGACTAATCGAGGTGGTTGCTTGAGTTCGGTTGAGGTTAATCAAGATTTTTATAAAATAAATCGTTTTTGTTTCACATAAAAAAATATAAAAGGCTATTTACTTTTTCGCCGTCTGTGGGAATCGAACCCACGACCACATGGTTAAAAGCCATGCGCTCTACCAGCTGAGCTAAGACGGCTTGATGATTAGTTTTATTACAATAAAATTAAATCACAACTTTTAAGCAAAAGAAGCATATAATTTTTCATTTAAATCCTGTGAATCAATGAAAAATTAAAGCAAGAAAGTATTTTATAAAATTAATACTAAAATAAAAACATTGATATTTTCAGGACGATGGAGAAGACTTATTCCATATAAGTTCAACCATCCAACATATTTTAGGTTTTCGTCTTTGAAATATATTAATGACTTGAAAAAAAAATCAATTAAGTATAAATAATAAATACAAATTTAGTAATTTAATAATGACAATTGTAAAATCAAAAGAAGTTAAGATAATTTAGTTTCTCTGTGGTCTGTTTATTGTGTATCTAGTCTCCTTGAAATTTTACTATTTTTATTAAAAAACACACACACATTAAGTGTGAGTTTCTTACAAGACTATTTATTTGGATTTTCAACAAAATTAAGTGATTGTATATTTCTAACTTTAGAGCAACAAAATAAGATTTACTCTAGCAAAACAGTTTAAATGTCAATTTTTGAACTAACCGGTCCAAATAATAAAATTTTGTCTCCTAATGTATTATACAAACACACTAAGTAAAAAAGAAAAATAAAGAAATAATAATATATTAACTTAAGTGAGGTTAAAATCTTGAAATCTTGGTTTAACAAAAATATTTTATGAGTTTGAGACTACAAATAAGATTCTTTTATGAGATTTTACGAGTCTAAGACGATATATTAATTTCATTAAGGTAGATAGAATCATTAATCAGATTTTATGAATCACGATGATAAATAAAATCTTTTTTGTTAAATATAAATATTAAATATATAATACACAAATATTTTTGTTAACAAATTGATTATATTAAATGAATAATAAAACTATTATTCAGTTACTTTTATGCTATCATTAATTATTTTATTTTTATTCTTAAAAAATACAAATTAATATATTTGTATAAGGTACAAAATGATAATTACAGTATTAAGGACATATTGAACTTTCTCTATCTTCATTCAATAAGGGATGATTAATACTTCTCTATCCTCATTTAATAAGGGATGATAAATATTTGAATTTGAAAGAAATAAATTTGTATTTTTTTAATGCATCTTACTAGATTTCATCATATATGAATAAATTGACAAGAAATCCCTCAACTTTTGTTTTATCATTATATATATTAAAATATTAATTCTATATTCATAATTTATTTTATTTTTGTATTTTGGTTTCTCAATGAAAATGCTCTAACTCTATTACTATAGTTGTTCATTTTTCTTTTTCTGTTTCAATGCATTATTTTATCTTTTTTTTTTACTTGATATATTTTCACAACCTAATATATTATTCAAGGAAAAGAAATCCAGATTTGCTTTTTGCTAGTTGCCAAATTTGTGACCTTTCTTAACATCCAGGTATGGATATCAAATAGCAACAGATATGGGATTAAAAATTCTACCATCAAAGGTATGGAATATGACTTTTTTTAAAAAAAATGAAGTAGGAGAATTGGCATTATAGTGCCCTACTCATACCCTACCAATTCCCATTCTAATTAATTAGATTCTCTTTGGAAATTAGTCATTAGTATATCTGCACTATGATGACTCCAAAAGTAATCTTGAAATCGAATTTCTATCACCTCCCACTGTTATCTTGCCTGCTGAATATTGATGCAATATCAGGAGTTTGATAAGCCTAGTTCTGTATCTCTTTTGTTTTCTCTTTCATTCTCTTTCTGACAAAGGAAGTTTAAAGTAAAGATCTCTTAAAAAGAAAATTTGGATTTTATTAAACAATAGCCAAGGACTATATATCTACAATTTTTCAACCGAAAGATAGGGATAGAAGAAAAAAAAAAAAACTAAGATAAAAAGCTACCCTTTCAGCATCAGTTATAAGAATATGGTAAAGAAATGTAGTTTACTTGCAATGATATAGATTAGATAGAGTTCACGATAACTCTATCTAATCTCTCAACAGAATTTTTTTCTTTTTTTTAGTAAAACAATAAAATAAAATCTTACCAGAGGAGGACAAAAATAACTCTTGTTTCTCCTTTTTTGGTACATTCAACAAGAATATTTGCCGTTTGAAACATGAATAGCCTACAAAAATATATTATATGCTGTGTCTGAAACACCCAATGAATGGACTATCAATTGTTTCACCAGTTCTCAAAATAAATATGGGGAGCAACCATAATTTTACATGTCAAATGACAGCAACTTAATTTTTTTGGTGAACACTCAAACAAAAAGCCTTAGGCCATAACACTGAAATTCCCGAAAGGGTACATTTTGGAAAGCATCGTTCAGGACATTTGGTAAACAACATTTGCTACTGAATACTAAGAATGTCTTCCCTTGGAACTAACAGTAACAAGAATAGGCAAAGTGGTTTTTCTTGGAGACATAATGGGACAAGAAACTGGAGGCAGAAGCAGATGAATCTGGAATAGTAGCTGGAACCAATATCTGGGATTTTCCAGAGCCAATTCTCTTACCAGCTACATTTGCATAAAATAGACCTGAAATTGCTGGTACAAAAACATCACTCTCAGAACTAATGTAAAAGTCAATCACTTTCTCCAACTCAGAATCTTGAGAGTCTAGGAATTTTTTCTTCTTATCTGCAGGTATGATAGATTCCTGAAACAAATTGACAGAAAATGAGAAACATTATCCTTATTATAAATAAAATATGTTATAGAATAGCATCTGAGCATTCAATAAATAAAGTTTGTGAATGAGAAGATGAAGTAAGAACAAATATCTCACCTTTGTATATGTTTTAGGGAACAAATCTTTAAGAAAATCAAGGCTCTCATCCCACCTTGATTGTGTCACATAGATAGTAGTATCCTTGTCAAAACCAATCTTCCTCAAAAACACTGCAACCTCTTGTGCATTGAAGCAGCTCTTCTCTTTATCACTATCACTTCCTTGGCATCCCTTCTTATCCAACATCTCAACCCTCAAATCCACAGCTATGAATTGGCCATCTGACTTTCGGCTTAGAGTCCTAAGTCTTTCAACCATTGAATCAACAAGGTCATGTGTTTCTTGCTGCAACTCTAAGCTTCCATACATTGCTAAGCATGCAACCGAATCAGCATCACTTTTTTTCCCTGCCTTTCTCATGTTTATTGAAGGAAAATAAGTGGCAAGCCTTACACTCCCCTTTGATCTATAAACAGGTTCAACATGTGTAGCTATGTACTCTTCTGTAACCCGATTAGGGACCTTCACCGCAGCAATTTTATGTGTTGATACGTGAGAAGGAAGAGCCTTTACCACTCTGACCACTCCTTCCATGCTTTTCATGAACACATCGACATCATAAATATCCTCAAAGTTCCTGAGACATAAGTTGTATTAGGTACTTGCAAGTGCTTTTTGTAAACAAAGTAAATTAGACTTATTTCAAATAGAGTTCAACTGTAAGGTGTTTAACAATGTCTTCAAAATATAGCATTTTCAAATTACCCGCTACATTCAAAACAAGCTTGAATATGAATGTAACCTGAAATAACAAAACATAAAAGTGCTTTTCATTTTGTAAAGCAGAGAACCTTGAGTCATATTTCCATTTTTTAACTTTAAATTTGACTGGTCTTTTCTAGCCTCATCGGACAACATAATATGACCATCGATCACAGGAGAGAGCACAACAAGCGAGCAAAACTATCATAATTACTCTTGAAATAGGAGAAACAATTTACATCAACATTTTCCTCGGCACTAACCTCTTATCACCGGGTTGGTTTCCTCTAATGTCAGGGATGACAAGTGTCGCCCCAAGACTACGAGCAACAAGCACTGCATCTGCTATCTGGATAACGAATTACCAGAAAATTACATAATGTAGGAAATAATAATTGAAATTTTGGATTAAGAAGGAGGCATAAATATCTCATGATCAAACTTCACCAAAAGGTATGAAACAATGATACAGAACTAACAACTAGCAATCTAGATTCCGGAAACCAACAGTAGAAGTCAGGAAGAGTGATAATAAGAAAAATCAAATTCGAGAATGGAACACGATATTAGGTATTAAGGAAAATGTTATAGATCACAATTAGATTAAACAACATTTTGAGAGCATTGGTGAATTAATGTCAGCAACCAGGCAAGAAGCAAAAAGAAGGCATCGTCAATAGGAATGGTTGATCCTTTTTGGTGAGGAGGAGAGGAAATCAACAGAAAAAATATTGCTGATGTTTGAAAAATAGATGCAACTATCTTTACATAAACAATTCTTCAATGAGACAAGAACAATGGTCGGATCAGATACCTGAGATATATGGTACTCCGGGCCATTGGTTAATGAGAAGGTAACAAATCCCTCAGTCTGCTCCACTTTGTCTGCAGGCATTACCAAAATATTAATTAATACCGACAAAAAGGTAGAGCACATGTATCACTTTCAAGTACACGACATAAGTTCCTTGAATATTTGCAAGACTTTGAAATCATATTTTACCTTCAGATGGCTTAACCCAACAAGGCTTTAACTCATCAGCATCTCCCTTCCAAATCCCCATGTTCTTTCTTACATGAGTAGTCTCAAAGTTTGTACTTTCGAAGCTGACATCCTCTGTTCCAGGAAGTTTATCCTACAGAGCAACCAAAAAAAAAAAGGAAAAAGAAATACAAGTGAAATAAGTTCATTTTAATCATATCGACAAATTACAAGAGGAATAAAAATAGTCAAAAGAAATATGCATAAGAAAAACACTACATGTATTGAATTGAAATGAATCTCTCTCTCTCCATTTGTTTTTTCTTCTCTCTTTTTCTTTTCACACATAAAATAAAGTTTGTGAGGGAAATCTGGTTTTAAGGTATCAAAGAAATGGATTTTGAATTTGGTGCTAAGAAAATGAGAGTTAGCAATTGGCCTGCCTAACAAGCCTGACCCTGATGAATCTGGTCGGATAGATTTGGCTACAGATGTTTTTTTCTCAGTTTATGAATTTGTAATTAAGGATCTATCATCTCTTCAAAACAAACACAACATGGGTTTCACCTGATCCTTAAATTTCAATCACCTCATTGTGATACAAACCCAGATCCCTGGCTACTTGTTCGACTATGACAATTCAGAGTACCAAATGAAATCGTGTATGTGGTGTTAGAGAGAGCAATGAAAAAGAAGGAGCAAGAATTTCTTACATCAACAGCATCAAAATGGTCCCTTTTGATCATGTGTATGAGCATGACGAACATTGTGAGGGTGAGCACACCCGCCACCACTTGCCTTAAATCCACTCCCATGATCTGAGTCTGTTCTTGTGCTGCAAAGCTTTTCTATGAATGAGTCTGGAAAAAATATAAATGGGGAACGCAGGATCAGAACTAAGAAGCGGTAGTGAACTTAAAGTAGAAGTGAAACATGAAGACCCAGAAGAAAGGAAGCAGCTTTAGAAGCACATGGAGGTGGGGAACACAGTGTATGATACTAAGACAAAAACCCAAGTTGATGCAGTAACTATATGTATTGTAATAATGAGTGACAGAAAGAGAGTGTGAGAGTTTGTGTTTCCCTTACTTCATCACCGACACTACTCCTGACAATGATGTTCTTCCTAAAATCTTACGTGTGTTTTCCTATTTTTTTGTTAACTACTAACTCCACATGACAAATATTTAAACCACTTTTCGTAACGAATGCATAATTAAAGGACCTTTGATTTAGGCACAGTTTTCATCCTTCTTTTTTTTTTTTTCCAAAAGTTTTGCAGAAAAACATGTGTTTTGTCCCTAAATAATCTTACTTTAATTGGTTAAAATATACATAGAGAAAATTGTCTCTCTAAGTATAAATATAATTATACTTTGTATCTATAAATATATAATTATACTTTGTATCTATAAATTAATAAATATAATGTTTTATTATTATTTTGAAAATAGGACCTAATTGTTTAGACGAATAAGAAATTTAGTCAAGTGTTTAATTCAGATAAACAATTGAATTGACTCAAATTTTTATCAAAGAATTAAATAAAAAACACAACAACAACTTAACAAAATATACCTAAGAAAAGGTCATCTTGATTCCTTTTTTAAAATAAATTGGAAAACCAAGGTAAAGTACCAATTTATTTTCAGATATAAGTAATTGAAAAATAAATTTTAAAATTACATATATTTTATTTCATTTTTTATGTTTGTTAAATATTAAAAGCATTTAAAATTATGTTTGATTTGTTTTAAAATTTAGTGTCCTAAACTTATATTTTAATTACTTTATTAATGTTCATTCGAGTTATGTTTAGTCATTAAACTATTACTAATTCAATCAATTTTGAAAAACTTATAATCAGATCAACTTTTAAGATAATTGATGTTTATATGAAAAGGTCCATCTCAAAGGTATTGATGGAAAAATTAGTTAATGTATTTTGTTAAATGTTTTTAATATTTTAGAATATTTTTAACATATATACTTATCACAATAATTATTAACCTTGTTAAGCAAATATAATTATTTTGTATGAAAAAAAGGTTAGAAAATTGTATTAATTATTTCTATGTTTACCTATCATAAGTGTTTCAATTAATATATTAAGATAACTAATTAATATCCACTAAAAATCAAATAGAAGTCATTTTTTGCTTATTAGTGTGAAAAACAATATATTTGTTTATTGTTAATTCTTTACAAATATTTTTACTTGGTAAGAAATTTAATCCTTTTTGTTAATTCAAATATTAAATTTATAAAAAAAGTTATTAGCTTCAACTTGATTGTAATTTTGGTTCTCTTAAAAAAAATTATTTTGTACTGTGTGATATGTGCGAAATTCTTTTAGTAGTTAATTCTTTTTTTTTATTCTGTTGACAAAACTTCAACCTAAGACTTTAGGTAAAAGGATTGTGATTTTAAAGTTAATCAATTTCATTCATTTATTTATATTCACAACTTTTACGAGTTGAAATAATTAAACGGTTTAAAAATTTCTTATACAAAAAAAATATCAATCAAGGCATCAAATTTTCTTTAAATAAAAATTAAAAGGTCTTTTCTTTTAGTATTCAATCTTGCATCATTTAAAATTCATTGATTACGGGTTATGGAATACAAATACAATATAAATAAACAACAAAAATACAAAAAAGTTTACGTAATTCAATTAAAATGACTTACCTTCACAATTATAAATTAAGATTACGTTTATATAAATATTTTTAATAAAAAATAAGAAAATAAATTAGGTCGAATAAATCTTCATCCTCTAATAGTTACTTCTATTTATTATAACATATGACTTCCAAAAATTTTCATACAAGTTATAACCTTTTAGATGAAAAAGATAGGATTTAAAGTATTGTAGATATTGAAATATGCAATGAATAAAAAAAAAAGTTTGGAAGAAATTAAATGTTAGGCCAATTTAAAAAGGACACTGAATTTTTTGTTTTATATGTGGTTATTAAATTCAATAAGTTTCACATAAACAAAAGCTCTAAGCACAAAAATATATACACATAAGATTCTTAGCATGATGGTAGTTTAAATCTATAGGTCTTTAAAAATTGATGCCAACGCATAGATGCTGAAATAGTTTGATTGAAATTTGGTGTTTTGCATAGCATGTGTTGATACAAAATGGTGTTAATAAATAACAACAAAAAAGGCAATTCTATATTGGTCTTCAGCTTCAGCTCCAGATCCAAAGCCAATGCCCACACATTCTAAAATATCAAGTTTGAAAACTACACATCATTCCAATAATATATATATTAACACAAATAAATATTTTTGAGACATGAAATAATATAAAAAAATAAAAGAATATAAAAAAGTGATTAACATAAATTTAATTACCAAGACCGAAATTATAAATAATAAATAATTTTAAAAAAATCAGGATTATGACTTTAAGAAGTTTTTTCTACTCTTATGATTCAACTATGATTAATTATTAAAACCTGATTTCAAATATTCAAATAGGTTTAATTTTAATTAATAATAATTTTAAAGTAGTTACCTGAAAGTTATTACAAGAACATGAATAAATCTTTCTATTTTATCAGTCCCTATTGATCTCGATATTCAGTTCTCATATATGTGAAGGATATTTATAAAAATACCTTGATTGAATAGTATCATTCGGATGGTATTGATGTGAGATTATATTAAATTCTCTAATATATTATTATACAAAATATTTATGCAATTAATAATAAGGGTTTATTTAAGAAGTTTAAGACATAATTTCTACATATAAAAATGATAAATTTTTTATTTAATAATCACTCTAAAAATATTCATTACATTTATTTTCTTGCTCATTAAAAAATATTAAATAATTTTCTTATCCATTTCTTATATTTTACATTTATTTTATTTTTTTCACCTTCGTAACTTTAAATTGAACAATTTTAAAATTAATTTGAAAATAACTATACCTCCGGTTTTTTTTTTCAAACATATTTAATTTTAAAAGTAAGATATGAAAACAAAAATAAAAAAATTGGTACCACTAAACGGCCAAAAAGTAAAACATTATTTTTTCAAAAATTCAAAACGGATTCAGAGGAACTTGTTTATGGTCTCAATTACTTATAAGGAGATGTGTTTATAAGAAATTGTTGTCCGAGTTATTTGATGTGATAAAAATAATTTTAAAGAATAAGCACCATATTTTATAGAAGCAACGTTCTTAAAAGTTTTTTCAATTTTTTATAGTTTGTTTCTGCGGTTCATACTAACAAAATATAATAAATCAGAAAAAAATACTCATAACGGGTCTCATTAAAATCAAAAATAGTAGTTGAATGGTGAAATGTTTATAAAAACCCATCATTTAAGTGAATTTATAAAAATTTAAAAAGAATTATTTAAATACAATGTGATATTGTAGATCATACTTAAAAAACTAATATAAATTCTTATAAAAATCACTATTAAAAATAATCTTAGTAATCAACTTTCAACTAAAACAATAATTTTCAAAGTATTTGTTTTCACAATATTAAGTTTGAATATATAATATCGGTAGATATTTATATATTTCCGTTGAACTCAAATTTATTAATTATTTTATCACTGTGATGAGTTAGTAGTAAATTATCAACCCTAAAGAGAAGAAGTTGCAATTAAATTATATGGATAAACATTTTAATATTATTTGTTCATAAAAATAAGCAAGGTATTAATTGTATATAATTAATTGATTATTTTATAATGCAATTAGAATTTAGAAATAGGTAGGGTTTTGAGATGTGAACCAAAGCGCTGCATTTACAATTGTATATTGAGTATTAGTTATGTGTCTTCATCCAACGTAGTCTTCACAAATCTTTTGGATGTGATTAAAAATTGACCACATTTATTAAAGATGTGTGTAGTCAAATTAATTGAAGGAGAGGAATTGGATATTCCAAATCCCTACTAATCCGCCTTAAACAATGGCCTTACAACCCCCGCTAAATCCTCTTGTCAACTGTAATGTGTTTATTATTATTTTCGCCAAATTTAGTTTAATTTTTATTTTGTGTACGGTTTTCTTAATTTTAATTCAATTCCATTTTAGAATTAACTTGCTTGTTTAAAATACCATGAAAAATAATATCATAAAAATAATTAAATGTAAACAAATATGATGATTGGACTAATTTTTTTTTAAATGAGAGACTAAATATTTATTGGCAATCAAAATTACTTATTGAATGAATAGAAATAGATAAATTAAAATAATTCTTTATTTTATTGTTACTCCAACCAAGTTTTTTAAAGCAAAATTTATTGGAAGAAAAATTTGATATTGATACAAATTTATTTTTTAATTACATAGTAGAATTTAAATAATTAAGATATTTCTCTTCTATACTTTGAAGTTATTTTTTTGGCGAATAAGTAAATTAAAATTAACAGAAAATATATTTAAATAAGCGAAATCTTTAAAAAATATCTTAGTGATGATTCAAATTTATGAAAAAACTAAAAAATATTTGTTTCATTTAAATTTATGGACGAATTGAAAGAATTAGCTGAAAAAAATAAAAATAGATAATTTTTAAATTTCTTCTGAAAAAGTTAAACATGTAATTATTTTATTAATAAATATTTTAAAACCATGAGATTTAAAAAAAAAAAATAATGAAAGGATATATCCGTGTTCAAAGACGTAAAACAGTTACTTGCATATTCATCTTGAAGTTCTGGGCACCCGACTCTGGATATTCGATTCTTGATATTGAGAGTAGGGGAAACTGATACTGGGTATCCGCTCAACTCACTAGTTAGATATAATTATAATGAAAGT